CATTTTGTGGGGTTCTTGCAAGGCACAGTTTCTCACAAAAATGCATGTGTTGTGTGTTTGCCTGCTTACCCGTACCCACTTTATGTGCCATGTTTGTGCCGGAGGGACACCACAAATGAACCCTTCCCTTATTTGAATGTAACCGATTTTTGATTTCCGCTACTGTATACTTATTTGTTTAATGCGACCCCCTGGACAGACCTACGCCTGTCTGCTTTCCAAATTTATCCTCTTTTAAAATGCCCTTATTATGTATATGCCTCCCTTTTTTTTTTTTTTTTTTCCTTTTGACTATTGCACATTATTTGTAATTTTATTTTTTGTGTATTTCTCAATTTTCTTTTTCACTTCCGCTATTTATAATTCATTATTATTTTAAAAATATCCTCGTGTGCAATTGGTTCACGCAAATTTGCGTTCATTCTTTTTTTTTTTTTTTTTTGCTGTTTTATTGTTCCTTGCCAAGTTCAGACACACACACACCTTCCTCCCTTGTGATGGTGTATTTACGTGTCATTTAACCCACGTCTATCAGTGGGTGTTTATTCGTCGTCTACTGCTAATTTATATATTCCCTCCCCCCCCTATGCATGGTGCTCACATTTTTAATAAATCGCCGTGCGAGTTACCGCTGTGGAATTAAATACACCGCAAACGATGAACTCCCCTGTTCTCTCTCTTTTTTTTTTTTTTTTTTTTTTTTTTAATTAAACGATAAAAATTACAACTATTGTTAGAATATTTGGAGGTGTCTTTCGATCAATTTGGCCTTCTCAGCAGCTTTGCCCTTTTTTTGGCATAAAAACGTTCCCCTTTTTTTTACGGCAGTACATGGGAAATTGCATCTGGGGGGTGCACCTCGTGTGGACACAAGATGCCGCAAGCACGCAGCCTCATAGAGATATAGCACACAACTATTCATCATCATAATCTGTCCGGTGCCACAACACGAAAACGCGGGCATCCTTTTTACTTTAATTTAAATGATTTTAAAAGTTTTATACAAAGGGGAGAACAAAGATCATCATGGGAGGTAAAAACACACCTGCTCTAGCTATTTCGGTGATGACAAATTAAAAACAAAAAAAAAAAAAAAAAAAAAAAAAAAAAATTACATTCATATATAATGCGTATAAATATTATTGCGCACACTGTGCACACCTACATGCCGGCATAGTGACACAATGGAACAGATGCTACTTGCTGGCACGCTTCCTTCACCACCTCTGGGACTCAAAAATGTGACATAAGCACAGGGTACTGCAAAACGTTGGCCGGGCTGTGATGGTGGTGTCCTTTTCTTCACCCCCACTCGAATGATACGTACAGCTGTTCCAGCACTTTTGTCTGATAAAGTGCTACCCCCTCAGCTGCTTTTTTTTTTTTTGATCATTTTTTAAACCCCATTTGTTTCATCATGTTGGCCATAGACCCTCCCAAATCATCCATCTTGGTAAACTCCTTCAACATGTTAACCATGCTATTTGCTCCGCCCATCTGTCCCAGCATGCTTGGGTCCATCATGTTATTCATTTTGCTTAGGAAGTGCTTCTGGTTTCTCATTAATGAGCCTAGGTTATTTTCCCTCAATCCCAATTTTCCCATTTTCGAAACCATATTTTTTAAAAATTTAAATTGTTCCAATAATTCTCGTATATCTTGCAGACGGGTACCAGACCCTTTGCAGATCCTCAAACACCTACTATCGTTAAGAGGTTTCACACAATCTAATTCTTCATTCGTCATAGAATCCATTATAACCATAAACTTTTTTATCTTTTCTATTCCTTCCTTCTCAGTCCCCTTACTAATTATATTATTGCCAAAGCCTGGGATCATCGACATAACTTTAGTTAAGCTGCCCATTTTAAAAACATTTTGAAACTGGTCATACATATCTCTGAGGACAAATTTCCCTTTGGACAATCTGTTAATTAATTGTGGCTGTTTTTCAATGTCAATTACTTCTTTTAAGGTAGACACAAGTCCTTTAATATCTCCTAACCCTAAAAGTCTCGAAACGAATGATTTCGCTTCAAATTTTTCAAAATCGTTAATATGTTCACCTGTACCAATAAATGTAATAGGACATCCTGTGGAGGCTACTGCTGATAAAGCCCCCCCACCCTTCGCATGCCCATCTATTTTTGTAATAATTATACTACCTAGGGTAACTGAATTTTTAAAAGCCATGGCTTGGTCATGACAACTTTGTCCTATATGACTGTCAATAACAAATACAATTTCTTCTGGGTTGATTGAACTCTCGACTTGTTTCATCTCTTCAAATAATTCACTCTCTTGTTTATGTCTACCAGAACTATCCACAATGATTAAATCATATTTTTCTTTTAAAAATGCATTGACTCCATCACTTGCAATTTTCACAGGATCTACTTCTGAGTAACTACCATAAAATGGAATTTTCACTTTTGCGGCATTTTGCTTTAGCTGATCAAAAGCCCCAGCTCTGAAAGTGTCTGCACACACTAAGGCTGTTTTGAATCCTTTCTTTTGATAATAATGTGCAAACTTTGTACAGGTGGTTGTTTTTCCACTTCCTTGTAACCCCACAAACAAAATGACATTTCGACTTCCTTTCTTGGGGACATAGGATTCTTTCTTCCCTTCCAGGAGGTTAATAAGCTCCTCTACCACATACTGTTGCACCAGCCTCTTTTTATTATTTCCATACAAATCGATATTTTTTTCAATATTTTTTTTTATATTACTTTTTATATCCTTCAGGTAGCTAATATTTATGTCCGCCAAAATCAACGCTCTGATTACTTCCTTCAGGCACTCTTCAATCGCGCTGTCGTCCGCCACGGCAGATGCCTGCAGCTTCTGCAACGCGCACGTCAGCTGCGTCCCCAGCTCCGTCAGCACCATTTTATCGCCTCAAAATGTGTAGCGGCAGTGGCTGTATTGCGCACCGGCTGATGATTACTCGTCTCGTTTTTTGTGTGTGCGTTTGTGTGTCCTTCGTCCGCCTCTACGATTTACGCCGCAGAACGGGGGCGGGTCCACTCAAATTGGGCCCTCCTCAATTGGGATTCCCACTGGGCAATAAGGGGGAGCTGCACTTCGTGATGTGTGGTGATGAGAGTGAAGTGATCCCTACGTGCTTGTCTCACAAGTGGCCTCCTAAATGAGCTTTCGACGCAACACTCAGCCGAAGGGTCACTTATGAAGGGCCAATTTGCGGATAAAGGCTTAACAAAAAAAAAAAAAAACTCGTCTTAAAATGGCGACAAGCAGTAATTACTTCTGTGTACACGCAATTTCAAGCGGGACGATTTCCCAACATGTGTCTGCTGCCGACTTGCTGTGCACGCAAATGGAAGTATATTCTCCGCTGCTCGCGTGTATGCGTTTGTACAATTCTTCACGCGTACACAAATGGGTTGCACTACATACACAGACTGAAAAAAAAAAAAATTATACTTTCGCACAAATAAAGCTAATCGATTTGTTCCTTGTGCCCATTTTCACATTTGATAGTAAATTACCTTCAAAATGGCTAATCATTTTTATATAAAATATTTCGATATAATGTTAATTTTTTTTTTTTTTATATGTGCAATTGCTCGTCAGGACATGTGTTGCCGCAGAGGGGAGTGTCGCGCCGCACGATGTAGGTAAATATTCACCGGAGTGTATACACCCAAGTGTATAATACCAAAGCGGGGTGGCCCCAAGAAGGTGATATGCCAAACGCGAAAGCGGACGTGTGGCTGCCTTAGTTGCAATGCAGCCCTATCGAACGCATTAGTCGCTTGCGCCCAGTAAATAGCCCCCTAGGGGATGGACAAAATGTCATGTTACAACGAACAGCAGTTCCGCTTTTGTTCCTTAGCTTCCGCTCTGTGCCTTCTCCCGTGCGTATAAATAAGGCAGCCTTCGAGCGTGAATTCATCACATATATATGTACGTTGCTTTTTTTATGTTATTAAAAGGAAACGCAAGTGAAGGCCTCGCTTTACTAAAAAACAAAAAAAAAATGTTCGTTAATTTTTCTTCTTCCAACTTTTTTTTCCGGAACGGTGAAAAATTGTCACTTGGAAAAAATCATGTACTGGGGAAAGAAGGAAAAGAAGAACGTAAAATCGTAGAAAAAAAAAAAATAAATAAAATAAAATAATTCCATGTATTTATTTACAAACAGCCACTCTGTTATAACCAATATGGAATAAACACAGCGTGCCATAAGATGCGACGCTTTATGGATACACGTAGGCCGCAGAGCTGTGCCGTTGTGACAACCCCTGGATTTGCAAAAAAAAAAAAAATATATATATATATATATGCAACTGCAAAAGAAGCGCTCATTGCCCCTCATTTTTTTTTTTTTTTTCCTTTGCATTCCTTTCATAATACATAAAGGTGTTCATAAAAAATGGGGGAAAATTTAGAACATTGACCCCTGAGCCCCATCAATATAGCAGAGCATTTGTGTGCCCATTAACATAATTGAAAAGGAGCGCATTGCTTCTATGCAAATGTTTTTTGTGCGAGTCTGTTTAAAAAAAAACAGGGGGGTTATTCAAATGTACAAGTGCATTTCCTACTGAAGGATAACCTGGGGAAGAAAAAAAAAAAAAAACACCCTTCTGTTCTCCATGTGGAAAAGGCTACCTTTGGCATGACTAGAAGCAATAGAAGAGTTTAGCCATTTTGTAGCGGTGCGCGAAATTTTATTTGTAGCAACATGGTGGACACCCTATATTTTCCCCCCTGTGTTGTTTCACCTCAGCGTACCCAACTTACATCTTAAACCGTATCCAAGTTATATCCATATGGGGATGCTTAAATTTCGTTTAAGATAGGCTTTGTGTTTTTTCTGTACTTTGTGGAAGACACTTTCTCAACTTGTTTCTACTCAGACCCGTGGCAGACACAGCTTACGCTGCTTTACATACCTCAAAAAAAGTAGAAAAAAAAAATCTGTTTTTTCAACCGCACTGGCAATTTTGTAGAAACTACCCTCCTCGCACTTAATGATCATGATAAGTTCCCCCAGCTGTGACGTGACAGCAGGTATGGAAGTGTCCACTCTGTGGCCCCTTATGTGGTGTGTGGCGGGGGATATCACCCATATGTCACCAAATTGGAGAGCATGTGATACCTCCTTTTAAGGAGGTGCCGCATGTGCAGGATTCTACGTGGATGACCACTTATATCCTCTAACTGATTGTGTGACCTTCCCACTAGTAGTGTGAATTCTTCATTCCATGCTCACTTCGTCAACTCTATGCACCCTGCCATTATATAATCCTCTCCTCTGTTCAGGATTGAACGGGCTGAGAAGTAAAAGCGTCGACGAAATCGCAGAAATTGTTAAAAGGGCCAAGGAAGCGAAGCAAGCCCAGATAGGAGATTTAGAAAATTTCAAGGAGAAACAAAACCTAAATGTTCTGCAAGCCTTTGCAGAGAACCAGGCACATTGCTTCAGCATATGTAAGGAAAATTTGTATAATCGATTTGAGCAGGACTTGCACAAGTACCAGAATGTGAGCGCGAAAAATAACTCAACTTTTAACGAGACGAAAAAAAAGAAATTAGAAAAGTTTTATGAAGACATGGAGAAGCAGCTGTGTTTCCGTGCATGTTCTATGAGGTGCCGCCACTTTCTGCAGCACAGGGAATGACAGTGTACGGGGGGAACGGGGTCTCATGGTAACACGCGACAAGGAATGAAGGAAAAGGTGTCTGTGTCATGAGTAGCTTCACCAACATATTTCCCCCTGAACAGCCCTTCCTTCCCCTCGTCAGTGCATCGCCGTTGCCACCACGTCGTAATACCCCCCTCTGTTCACAATCGGAAGCGCCCACCATGGAGGACAGAGACAGGAGAAACAAAATTTTACTAGCGTATGGATCCCAGTACGGCACTGCGTACGACTGCTGCAGAATCATTTTGTACGAATTGTATCGAAGCTTCCACATAGACTTCTTTTCCCTGAATGAGGTAAATTTGATGAGCTTGCACAGGTACGAAAATGTCATTATAATTGTTAGCACCACAGGGTATGGCTGCTACACAAATAATATGTCAACTTTTTGGCTAGCTGTGCATAAGGCTAAAGTAAGATTTGACGCAGGTACTTATTTTCATTTGTTTGGATTGGGGGACAGTGCATATGATAACTACAACATAGTGGCCAAGAAATTAAAAAAAAAATTAAAATCGCTCAATGCAAATGTTGTAAATTATAATTTAGGAAATTATCAACACCCTTCTATGCATTTTTCAAATTTTATTATTTGGAAGGATAATGTGTACCGATTTTTGATGAGCAGATATTCCTCCTTTGAATTAAATGAGGACGTCCCGCAGTTTTACTCCATCAGGAGGGTAAGTCAATTAGCAGGTGGGGTAGATAGCGACGTGGAGGGGAAACAACACGTGGAAGACATCCATAGTGAGTATAGTGGCGCTCCCCAAATTGGTGACTTCAAACCGGATGACCACTTTTGTACACTCTTAAAATATACCAAATTTGGAATTTTAAAAAATGAGAGGTACACAGATAGGTCCTACTTCCAAGATATCAGGTGTATCGACCTGGCGGCACCACCCACGTTATCCTTCAATGTGAGTAGCTTGTTAAATGTTCACCCATTTCTAAACGAGGACAAAACGAAAGAGGTATTGAAGATGTTAAAAATTAATTTTGATGAGTATGTCATTATTCAATACAACTACCCGGAGGGTAAAAAGAGCATCACAGATAGCGTTCCGGTTAATAAAAGGATAAAAGTATTACACCTCTTTATGTACTTCCTAGATTTAAGCAAAATGGTTGCACCCTTTTTCTTCACCTATCTGAGTAAAAAAACGACAAGCGAAATGCACAAGAAGAAATTTCTGCAGTTGGCAGACACAAACAAAATTGAAGATTATTTCTCCTACATCTATCAGGATAAAAGATCCTACTACGATATCTTCTGCGATTTTTATGGTTACATACAAGTAGACGTGACCTTTCTCGTGAACACTCTGCCCACTATTCAACAAAGATCCTATTCGATAATGAACCCCATGGGATATTACAATTATGCAAATATAAAATTTAACCCCTACCAGTTGTACCTGCATAATGTAAACCCCTTTTTCTTATCCCTGCTATCCTTTTTAAAACTCCATTTTTACACAAGGAGGAAAGGAGCAGGAAATATTTTAGCTCAATTCACAGAGGAAATGTGGACGAGGCGTACCTTAAGATTTATAAATTTCATGAGGAACAAATTAATCAACCGTGGGAACAACATAATCGAGTTACTGGTTACACTTTACGAAGTTGAAATAAACAAAAATAAAAAGTTGGTGGGTCTCTGTTCAGATTATTTAGTTAACTCCAAAGAAGGAACTTTTATTTACGCACAAATTCAAGATAGCTTATTGTGGTTTAATAAAAATATCCTCAACCTAGGCTATCGAATTGTTTATATTTCTACCGGCTCATCGTTTAGTAGCTTCCTGGGAGTTATCAGATACCGCCACGATTTGCACGTGAAACGGATCTCTACACATAGGGAGGGAAAGGAAAAGGAGAAGAATGGACCGGCCGCTCCTCTTCCAAAAGATTTCCTCTTCCTTGGACTTCGCAACAGGTTGCATGACTTTTACTTTGAAGACCTTCTCCGAGGGGTTACCTATTTCAACTACATTTTTGTGGCCTTCTCCAGAGACCCCAACGACAATTTTTCTTTTCTCAACAGGGAGGTGGAGCTGAGTTGCACGCGTAGTGCTATTAGCGATGCTGTTAGTGATAGGACAGGCGATCACCATCACGATGACTGCACCGATGACGATCGCTGCCGCATCGACCCCCACATCAACTACGAACACGTAAAAGAAGTGCTAAGTGAGAAGAAAAAGAAAATATACGTAACGGACATCGTGTTGGCTATGCAGGACTGCATGTATGAACTCCTAACGCAGAGGAATACAATATTCCTAGTGTCTGGAAAATCCCGCCCTTTTGCACAGAACCTGATCAAGACCTTCGGGGACATCATCAAGCAGAAAGAGCCCCACAGAACAGAGGAAAACATTAATTCCTTTTTAAAAAAAAAAGTGGATGATTTTTCCATAATAATAGAATCATGGTACTAAATTCTTTCAAAAGGTGGGAAGCGCTGCGGAATGGCGGCCGAATATTGCCTCAACCGAGGCCGGCGCCAAAACAACGGCTTGTTAACTCGTTACATAAATAGGGCTGTTCGCATTTGCACACAACAAGGCCAAAAAAAAAAAAAAAAGAAATTAAAAAATAGAAGCGTGCAGCGCGGTAGGAGGTGCCATCCTGGATGGCGTTCAAAAACAATGAGATGAAACTCTCTACCATGCGCTTCTTTTGATAAATTCTTAAAGCGTTACGTGGACTAGTGGGGGGAATTAACAAATAAAAGTGCCGACCATGTGGCTGCACATGGCAAGACGCACAGACAAGACACCTACAAAACATCAGCGTGAATGCAATTGCAACAGCATATATAAGGAGCATAAAAGAAATGCATTCACATGTTGCGCCCGTGTTTACATGCCCATGCCTCTTTCATCTTTCCTGTCTCTTTCTCTTATTTTATTTTATTTTTTTGTTAAAAAAGGGTGCCCAGCACTTGGCACTAATAAATCACGCATGCACATTTGATATAAAACGACGTCGTAAAAAAAATTAATCGCACCTTTCACAGCATGCATATAAAAAAGGTACACAAAATTAACCTCGTTTTTTTTTCTATTTCTTTTTTTTTTTTTGTGGAGAGACAGACGAACCAATACGTGTGCAATATTTTGCAAAATATTTGCACTGTCCACGCTGCCATCTCTTGGGCCTGTTTTCCGCTCATCCGCCTTAAAAATAACAATTTAAAAAAAAAAAAGTGAGAACAACGCTCAACGGTAAAAAATGTGGCTTCTTGCTCTTCCCCAAAACTTGTGCACCTTATCCAACGGCGCAACTTTGCCAGTAGCACACGATTAGCGATTCTGCTAAACACACGTGTGGGGGCTACAAAAGTGAAACTATGTAAAAAAAAAAACAAGGCAGTAGGATTCTTTCCCTGCTCACAACGGACTTTCACACAATTCGCACCTCGTCCGTTCCGGCGTATTTTCATACGTGCACATGTTGCACCTCTTCAACTTGTTTTTCTTCTTAATCGTATACGTGACGTTACTTTCAGGGACGTTTAAGTAGGACATGTTGTTGACTGAGAGAGTTGGGTGGTAGAACTGATTGTCGATGTTTTTCTTTTCGCTTTTTTTCTTCTGTTTCTCCGATTTACTTTTACTACTCACATTATTTACACTGGCAACGTTAGTACTGCTTTGGTTGCTTTTTTTCTTCTGGTTATCCACGGGGGTTAAGGGAAGCAGGGATGGAAATTCATTAGGACTAAACGTTTTTAGAATATCACGACTCTTATTACTTTTAGCTGCACTTGTCTTTTCCTTCGAAGAGGCTTTAGACTTCTTGTCCTTCTCCGCCCCTTCGACATTCTCCCAGTTTTTGCTTTTCCCTTTTTTAGCCACATTAGCATCTACATTGCTCCCGGCCAATAGAGGATAATTTTCAAAATTAAAATCTGGTGTACCGCCACTATTTTTATTTTTATTATCAATAGTGGAGTTCTGTTCACATTCTTTTTTTTTTTTCACACTTTTGTTTAGCACCTGACTGTTTGCAGCTTTCCCTGTCACCACGGCACTCTTCATGGTGGAGGCATTTTCCTTTGTTCCCTTCTTCTTAGAAGAACTACGTTTCTGTGGTGCCTGAATTACCTCTTCCTGCTTCTTCTCTGGTAGTGACGGGAACTCCAAATCGAGATTCAATCCGCTCGAGTTTGAAAATAGCTGTTTGTTTTTATCAACCTTATTTTTGTATGACATGGATGATAGAGAAGCATTACTTCCTGCAGCTGTTGTGCTTTTCCCGATGCTACTTGCACTGTTTACTGTACCATTTCTCGCCATGTTACTTGCCTTTGTCATACTGCTATGGCTGGCAGTGGTCCCTATCGCACCACGCGCACTTCGTTCGCTCACCCATTCGGATCTGTCCTTTAGCGTTGGGAATTCCTCAACCGCTTTGGGTAAGCTACTTGGTGTGGTGGAAGACATTATGCTACTGACGTAGAAATAAATAAAGTAGAGCTCATTCACCTTGGTACTTTTTATTATGTTTAGGAATCGATTTCTAAGCGAAAGGGAGACATCATACAAATTTGCATTCACTCTGTTATCCTCAACGGTTCTCACATGGTGTTTTTTTTCGTCCTGGGATAGTCTATCACGCTTCATGTGTCCATCACGTTGGTCGCGATGGTACGGATGATCCCCCTTGTCAGCCTGTTCATTGCGCATTTTGCGTAGAATGACTTCTATATCTTTCCTAATCCGATAATACTCTGGGCCTGTGGACAAGCACTCCTCCAGAGCCTTGGCGTTGACAAAGGAACCCAGATTTTTCGAAATGCTTGTGAGAGAAGTCAAGTCAACCTCGTTCGAGATTCTCTTCACAATTTTCTTCTTATTTTCACTAGAGATGTTAATAAACTTATTTATACAGGGGTCCTTCATGTACGCTGAAAAATAGTTACTCAAAAAAAGGTAAAAGAAGGAAACCAAGTTCAAGTTGGGTTCTACATAGTACAGCAAATCTAGGACCACTTTTTTCGACACATCCCATTTTTTATCATACAAATTATTTATGATGTTGCTGTTTGGGTTTTTCTTCTTCATGGCTTTTTTAATTAGTTGACTAATGTCTTCCAGGTCGTTTAATTCATTGCTACTGCTGATGTTAATTGCATCAAGCAAGGTATTTCCATTTCGCACTTCTCCCTTTCCTCTTTCGCTTTGGTGTGTAGATAGTGCTATTAAAATGCTACTACTGCTGTTGTTACTAGTGTTATGGGCAGCAGTTGGGTTGCTTTTCACCTTACTCGACTTGGGCACTCCTCCATTGTACGCTTCCCGCCCGGGGAATGTATCCCCTTTCTTTGTTGCTTTCTCTACCCGATCGTACGTCTCACTGCACACGTACGAAATGTTCCGCACGAGGGAGCACACCTTATCAAATCCATGCTTATCGACTTTAAAAAATAAAAAAATCAAATATAAGAAACCGTATTTGCTCAGTTCGATGGGGCCACAACTAGCTTCCGCTTCTATCCGCTTCTTCATTTGCGTCATTTCGTGTGAGAACAGGTATATATTCTTCGTTTTGTCGCTATTCACGCTGTTAGGGGTGCAGCCATTTGTTCCGCTGTTCGTGCCCCCTCTAGAACCGCGCCCGCCGCTAGCACTAGCCGTAGATGTCCCCGCGACGCTAACAAATTCAATCACCTTGTCAAGGCGCACATGCCTCGACTTTAAGAAGAGGTAAAAAAACGAATAGCACAAAATGAAGGACCTATTAATTATAATGTTAAAAAAGAGGTACAAATAATTTTTTTCCAAGTCTTCTTTATTATAAGATAAGTAATCTATTTTCTCCACTATATAATCAAAAAATAATTTGAAATGAAAGAAATTGTTTCGATCCTGGGGGAAGTCCTCTTCAATTATCTTCTTACTGAGCTGTACTATCTCCTCCTGGGTAAAATACAATTCTGATTTTTTACTGGACAGCGTTTCGAATACTTTCAAAATGATCTCCATGTCTCTTTGGACCATATACAGGAAATATATTTTTTCGCTGCTTCGAAAATAATTTAAAAAGTCTTTTACTTTACACTCGATAAAATAATCAAAGTACCATGCGTCCTGGAAACTTTTAAAATTGTATATGCACTTGTGTCTGTTGACGTCAAACGGTTCCTTGCTCTCTTCACCGAGGTCTTCTTCGTCGAGGCGATGGTTGTGTAACGTACTGGCTCCAGTGTTGTAGCTGCTAGCCCCGGTGTTATAACTGCTCGCCCCGTTGTGCGCACTACTTCTTATCTCGTTGTACGAAGCCCCCGCGATGGAAAAAGTTATCTTATTCTTCTTGTTGTTCCCCTTCTCCTCGTGCTTCTCCGCAAGGTGGAAACACAGGTCGATCTTATTGTCAAAGACGACGAAGATGCACTGCTCGTACAAACACGGGTGGTGCTTCTTCTTGTAGTGCTCGAATAGATTTTCGTAATCTCTGTAGACCTACAAAAGGTGGTTAGCATGCAACAAGGATGAAGCCTGCACAAAAGATGTAGCGTGCGCAAATTATGAACACTGCACAAAAGATGAAGCGCGCGCAAAGCGCGAATGGCTCCCCTCTGGCGCCCTTACGTGCGTGTGCAGGTGGTCATAGTAGACGACGTCCTCCTCCAAGTCTGCCTTGGGAACTTCCTTGCCATCGCTGGGCTTCTTATTAAAACAAAATTTGCAAAAAAAATGGTACTTGTTAATGTGATTCATGAACGTATCAAAATCGTAGAGGTAGAATCCGCAAAAGTGGCAATAAATATGCCTTGTTTTAAATTTATTCTCTGCAATTTTCTCCCCATTTTCAATGTGCATTCTTATAAACCTTTTAAAAAATATATTATACTCGAACAGAAATATATTGTCACTGTTGCCAACACAAATATCACAATAAGTCTTGCTATGCTCATTTATATGTCTGCACAAATCGCTTAATCTCCCATGGCAGTAATTTTTCAACGCATTAATATTATTTATATTATCCAAATTGGTAAAGCACGTCTTGGTGAACAAATCTACAGCTCTGAAATAATCATCAGATACCTCAGACTCTTCATCCTTTATGTGAAATAATTTGTTCCCATATTGCTGTTTATACTTGTCATATATTGAGTCGTTTTTTTTTCTCAAAATGCCTCTTTCATTTTTTATATAAATGCGTTCAAAGTACTTATCTGTGCAATGATTTTGTTTAAGTTTTTCCACCTTTTTACTTAAGATTTGGGTCCAGTAATCGATACAAGGGGATAGTAGACAAACGTAACTTGTTAACAGGGTTGATAAACTGTAAATGTAAAAATATTCAAAGAACACCTTCCTTTCTGTGTCCACAAATATTTTTCCATATAATGCATACCTCTTTTCTGTGTTGACTCCTCCGTTCAAGAGATACCTTATTTTCTCTCTTTTCCTTTTAATATATTTTTCATAATAAAAAAACAAATACAAATTTTCCCCTTTTTTAGCTGCATTGCTATTTCCTTGATTAACATTATTGTCGTCGTTTTTTTTTAAAATATTTCGTAAAATTATCATGTCATCATAGTGAGATGAAAATACCTTCTTGATATCATTTTTGTTCATACAATTTATTTGTTCTTTATTGGCGAGATGCCCATGCATTCCTCCTTTTTCTGTAGCAGAAAATGTATTTATTCCCTTTTGGCTTCCCACCTTTGGGGGAGGTTGGCCTAGGTTCACTGTGGGGATTTCCCCCATAAATTTTTGTTCTTCTCTTTCGTGTGCACATGGAACAATTGTGTTGAGTGAAATAATATTACGTGAGGAGTCACTCAATGGGGTGCCGCCTCCCTGTGCACTCTTCCCTGCGACATCGTCCCTTTTGTGGCAGCTATTCCCATTCAGCTCCGCAAATTGAGATGACTCATAACTGACGTACCGCTCGTGATCTTCCTGTTCAAGCAGTGTATGCAATAAATTGTCATAAGTAAAATACGTATAGAAATTATTTAAACAAAAAAATATGTACCCATTTCTTTCTTTACAAAATGGGCATTTCATCATATCCTTATCAAATTCATAATTATATTTTTCATCCTTTCCATCCCTGCGTTTGTCACTTGTCGGTCTGGTGATGTCCACAAATGACCCCCCTCCTCCTCCTCCACCTCCTGCGCCTGCCCTTCCCCCTCTGTACTCATCGGGGTACCCATAATTATTTCTATTCCCCACACGATTACGACTATTTACATAATTCACGTAAGCACTATTGCTGCTGGTGGTGTTGTCACGCGCGGCGCTGCTGCTCCCTCTGTTATTCTCCTCATTCTCATCCTTCTCTTTCTTTTCCATATACAATAGACGATAAAAGCATAGAAAGCAATATGTATGGTTGCATTCTTGTATACACACAAATTTTATTAACTCGAAGCATAGACTACATTCAATAAATTTGAAGTCTAGTTCAACCTTTTTCAAATCAAAATTGCTTATCTTGTATTCCTCTTCTTTCATTTCGGCCAGGGAATAATTCTCATTTTTTTCCTTTTCCCTAATTATTTTTTCCACCTCTTTTTTCACAATTTTGTTCCCATTCTTTTTTATATTGTCTATTAAGCTATTATATATAATTAAGTTGTGTTCTATCCTTAGTATATCCGCATCGCAATAACTAAATAATTTTCGGATGTGATAGGAAATGTTTACGTACATGGATTTGTCTCCCTGAGCGTTTTTTTCATCATGACTTTTCGCAGATTCGTGTTTGCTCTTAGCGTTCACGGCAGCGTTGCGACCTCTATACATTTTTTTTTGCCAATTGAATTTGGAATCGGGGGTGGCGACGGGATGCCGATGAATGTTCAGATGAATGTGTCGACGAATGTCTTGGTAAATATGTTCACATATCTGTATACAACGCCACTTCCCCAGCGGGTGCTGCTTACTAATGAGGAATCTCTTTGGGGCAGCAAAAAAAGACGATGCACGGGTTCGTACGCTTTTTTTTGCTACCTTACAGAGTTTTCCTTCGTTCCCGCACTGGCATATAGGCTGCTCCCCACGTGGATTACACTCTCCCACGTAAGATAACTTTTTCCGCAGGTATCCTCGTACGGAGCGCTCTCATATACATGTGCATACAAACGTGTATGCATATATGTGACACACACCGTTTCGAGTTCTGCGGATGGTTCTACGTTCAGCGTGATAACATTGCCTTGAGCTGGCACTTTTATCGAGGCAGTTTTTTTTTTTTTTTTTTTTCTTCGTTGAATTCTCGAACTATTTGGTCACCCGAACAGTCCTTATCTTCTAATTCACAATGGCCCCAGCGGGATAGAACGTTTGGAATTTAATCCCGTTCTCGCGTGGAGGTATACACTTATTTGCATATATTTATACCTAGGTATGTATCTACTTGTATGACAAATTAATACTTGCGTTTATTAGTCCTTTTATAGCGTACGTTTCGTAAAAACCTCCCTCCCCTTGCATTTATTGGCACTTGAGCTGAATCCTCGATATTCTGGCTCCTGATGTCATTTCGACAGTACAATATTCAGCAGAATACATATGCAGCGAGAGCGCAGTTTTATGCGTACGTGCATATATACGTACATATATATTCATACGCATATATATATATGTATATATATATGTATATGTACATATCTTCAAATATATATACATATAAATTACGCGGACGGTCATTATATATGCCCCTCTTTTTTTTTTTTTTTTATATTCCGTTCCTGCAAACAATTCGGTACGTAATATGTTCATGTTCTTCTGTCACCAATCGGAAAAAAAAAATTAAATTAAAAAAATAAAAGAATGAAAAAATGAAAATAAAAAAAATAAGAACGCGCTTGCCCCTAAAGTACGTCGTCATCGAATGAAACCAAACATACCATGAGTAGTTAGGCGAATATAAATACGTACAGTGCCCTGCATTGTGTCCGCCCTCGCAGCCTTACAATTCTTTTAAGAGTAATAAATAGGGCCTTCCCCCCGCAAGAGGTGGGCATGTACATATATATGTATATACGTTAGGAATATTTCTTAGCCGGTCCAGCTCATGGCGCCTTTTATATATGTGTTCCATCCCTCTTCCTGCGAATATTTCAAGCAGCTTCTTTCCTTCTTTCCTTTCCATTTTGGTATTGTACGTCAACGGGTTCCTTGCGGCCCCCACCCCCAGGTGGAATGAACAAATTTGCAAACTGTGAAGAAACTATTTCTACATGTTAATTGTGCAGTTGGGTATATTTTCCTGTGTACACCTCAGCGCGAATGTTCCTTTTGAGCGAATTCCCTTTTTTGGATGCAAGGTTCCCTTTGGGTGTATTTCTGTTTTTGTTTATTTCGCCCGGGATATTCCAAGTGAGAAAGGAAGACCCACACACGCCGCTGCGGAAATAATTCTTCTCATAATTTTGGGTTAAGAGGCAATTGTAGAGGTTTCCAATTCGTGTGCATAAAGCAGCGGGTGGGGGGAACAGATCCATATTTATCTCACCATGCGAACGTGCGCTTCATGCGACTATAAAATTAAAAACATAAAAAACGGTGAGGACGTCGTTGGTTAGGATGCCAGGTATAGCGTGACAACTTTGGTGAAGTCACAAATTAACGGGAAAAAAAATATATATATAATACCACAAACACTTGTCTATACTCGAGGGGGGATATGAACGGTTGGCTCTTCAAACACATGGCGTGAGGGACGAACACAGTTGGAACGAAATCCACAACATGGTGTTGTCAATTCCCACGTCAAAAGAATGAAGCAAAAAAGTGAAGCAAATAAGTGAACCAAATAAATGAACCAAAAAAGTGAACCAAATAAATACAAAAAAAAAATCAAACAAAAATAAGACGAAAAAAAAGGTTAAGGGTGAAGGGGTTAATTTCAATCGGGTAAGAAACGCCCGCTTCAAGGGAAGAGTAATTCCTCTCTGGTCACTTGGTAAAAAATTTGTTGTACGCTTCGATCCAAATTTTATACTGCGCAGTGATGTAAAGGGGGGGTAAAGTAAAAGATTCATATTATGTGCATATTCATTTTGCTTTATCTGTACGCATACGTTATATGTGCATGTATATTGGCGCAAGGAATGCTCTACGGATGCGTACGCAGAGGAGCATTATTATTTTTTTCTTTTTCCATGTACCTCTATGCATTGTCTATTATGTTCGGAATTGCCTGAAAAGCTCCTTTCATGCGTCCCTCTAAAAAAGAGAAAAAAAAAAAAAAATTCAAAAAAAAATATATACATCACTCCCCATGTCTTAATGCGACGAAGTAGGACAAACAGCACAGTAACAAAAATGCTTTTAAGAGCTTTCCATTTTCCGTCCTACATCCAAATGTTTTGCAAAATTTCGCTCTTCTTATTTTCAATATTCCTATAAAAGAGGGGTGTCTGTATAGGGGGGAAATTTTTCATATAATTGTGTACACTGAAATGCCTAAGAAATATTTTAAGGTAAATTATGGCTTAATAAATCACGGACAGGAGATCTCATATCTTTGCATTTGTGAGTGGCTCTCCACTCTCGCCTAGATCGGTTCCCGCCCCTACGGTTCCACGCTAACAGACCGCTTGGCCTACCTGCATGAGCTTCAAAAAAAGCACTGAAAACACCGGGTTGTAAAAGGACAGGGAGTAAAACAGCTTTATAAAATAATCAATGGCATTGCTATGAAACAGTTTGTTAATTATGTTCATTTTGTTTATATCAATTAGTGTGCGAGCGTAGAGGTAAAACTTCCAAAGGTTCTTCACTTTCCTATTTTTAAAATCCTCAAAGTAATAATGCAACTCTTTTAAAATAACATTTTGCAAAAACGGGAGACTCTTCATCGTGCTAATGTGTAGCATTCTGTTCAGCACCATGTGGTACAAATATTCATATAGATACATATATTTTATGTAAATATTTATGAGTTTCTTTTTTTTTAAAAAATGCAACGTTCTCGAACACACTTTTAAAATGTAAGGTAGACAATTGTTAATAATGCTGACGCGGTTGCAATTGTTTAACTTACTCACTATCTCTTTCGAAATATCAGTGAAGAGGCTAATTGAGGGAGGCGTACTTATATTCTGTTCGTTTCTCCCGGCAGGTAGATCTCTAACTAGGCTTAACTCCTTATTCACGTTGCTCCCTTTCGCCCCGATTGCCACATTTGTTGCATTATCCACATCAACTTGGCTAAGAGGGTTAACTAAGCCATGGCCACTGCCATCACAATCTACACCGCCCATCTCCCTCAGGTAAGCACATATAGACGTTATGTTATTATTTATTAAAAAGTAGTTTCCACATATTGTGCTGTTCATATCATTTATTTGGCTTATTAGTCTTTTCCTCAGACTTTCAAAAGTGTTTTTTTCCCTCGCTCCTACAGCCACGTTGATAGTACTGCCCGTGTCCGATACGCTTGTTTGGTCTTCACTCCATTCGTTCACGCGTCTATCTTTTTCATACAAGGTTCCATATTCATTGCTAATATGAAGGGGTAACCCACTAGTGATCGTCACTTCTTTTTCTGTGTTTCTTTTGCTTGAGCCCCAATTGGCGTAACCGTTAACACCGTTTGAAGAGGTGCACATAAGATTAGTGCCTACCCCACGTACCTTACCAGTATCGTCACTATACACGTTGGTGTTGCTTAATAGTTCTCTTGATGTATGTGATTTTTTATGTTCCTCCAGCCTTCTCACCTCATATGCAACTTCTGCATTAGAGTTACCCTCCCTGGATGCAGCACTACAGAGGGATAAGCTTGGTAAATTTTTCTTTTCCATATAAAAAAATTCGTGAATGATAGAAAAAAAATTTTTTATTTTCATATAATTTACTTGGGGGATATTCAACAAAGCTGATAAGAGCAGTATGCTTTTTTTTTCCTTCACAGATTCTAAGCTCTCAAATTTTGAATCTCCTTCGAAGAAATCAAAAAAGGACAGGAAGGTGCTTTGTTCATTATTCGCAATGACAATATATTTTAAAATGCTCATTAGGGGTATCTTCAAACAGCTATCATTACAATTGCTCACCAAGAGTTTATAATTTTTTTTCCTTTTCATTTGGCCCATGGTGTGTCTGACATTCCTGTTATACTCTTTGTTCGGTTCTTGTGTGTTCCGCATGCTGTAGAAATACAATTTGAAATTGTCCTTCTTCCTTCTTTCTCTCTGGTGCGCCTGCCACGTGTTGTCACTGCAGGTCTTGAACTGGCGCACGCGCGTTTTTCCCTTGCGCGCTCCATGAGCGTATCGCTCGTAGCCGCGGTTGTCAGTCTCCTCCTCGCCGTCACTGAGGGAGTCGTCGTCATCTGCACCATATTCCTCGCTGCCGTCGTCTTCGTCCTTTTCTTCATTTTCGTCTTCTTCACCATACTGTTCGTCCTCCCCCTGCTCGCCATATTCGTACTCCCTATACCGGGAGTATTCCCGCTCCTGCTCCCTCCGCTTCCTCTCCTTGCTGGATTCCCCTTCGCGCACTTCACTTTCGTTGTACCGTTCCAGATGGTCTTGGTATTCACACACATCATCGTAACGCTCATTTTCGTTTGTGATAAACTGCTCCCCCTGATATTCAACGCTGCTATTGTACCCTTCACGGGAAGCTCCATACTCCTGTGCATAATCCGGGTTTGGCCCTTCTGCCGGTGAACTTTGCTCGGTTTGGTCAACCTCTTCCCTGAGCACTGTCCCGTCTATGTCCTCACTGGGCAATGTCATTTCTATCTCCTCACTGGGCAATGTCATGTCTATCTCCTCACTGGGTGCTGTCACTGGTACCTCTTCACTGACCCCTGTCACTTCTACCTCTTCGCTGACCCCTGTCACTTCTATCTCCTCACTGGGCGCTGTCCCCTCGAGCTCTTCACTCTGTTCGGTCCTGCCCACCCCCTCACTCACATTGCTGCTTCCACCCTCTTGACCCTCCTCAATACTACCGACATTATCGCTACCCTCACTGCTGCCAACCGTTTCGCCCTTCTCACTACATTCATCCTCGTCGACCTCGTTATAATATGCACATACCCTGCTTCGTCCACATTTTTTATAGTTCTTCCATGTTATATTCGCCTGTTTAACTTCTTCGTGCAAAACCCCATCCGATGATTCAGCTGATACTTCATCTGATCCTCCCGACTCTCCCTCCGATGGGCCCTCCCTTTTTTCATCCCAAGAAACCCAAGAGTCACTTTCGGCAGCCCCTGTCTGGAAGGTCTCCTCAGTGAAGTTTCCACAGGATGGAATTCCTTGCCCCAGCAACTTCTGTCTCAAGTGAAAATACTGGCTGGAGAACCTCTTTTTCCTATCCTTGTACTCCACCTTATCCAGTGCATATTTAATTAAAGAAAAAAAATGGTTGTAAACTCCAAAATAAAAAAGGGAGGTCCAAAAAAGCATGCAATTTTTATAGGGCACTACCTCCAAGTTATTTCGGTAGAAGTAAAAACAAATCCCTTTAATGATGCAAAACTTTAATAAGATATTGCTAAATAGGAGAGAGTATTCACATAAATCCTCCACGTTTTTTACGTTCAGACTATTTTTAATTCTTTTAACTACGTCCTGTGTCTTAACCTGATCCGAAAAATTTAATATGCCATCCCTAATGACATGGTTAATAAATTCTATCACAGGAAAATACCGGTCTACTTTCACCATCTCTTCATCTTTGATGTTATATTTTTCTTTGTACTGCAGACATATAAGCAGCCTTAGATGGCTATAAAACATTCCATCGAATGGTAAAAGTGTTTTTTTATTGGGATAATTTTCACTGCAGTTCGCTTTGTACTTCATTTTATGTGTACCTTTTTTTTTTTGCTTCCCTTTGTTTTTGCTGTCTACCTCATCTTCATCCCTTACTCTATCGTTGCTGCTCTTACTACTATGGCTATTGCGCCCGTTGTTTGTGATGAGATTGGTGTCCCCCTTAGTACTGTCTGTATTGACGCCACTGATGGGTCTAACACCATCCTCGTCCTTCCCCTTGAATTCCACAACTGTGGCATTATCTCCCACCTCGCTGTTCATTTTTCCACTACTCAGGTTAGACCCATGTGGAGCAATCTTATCATTTTTGAAAATGTGTGTGTCCATTTTCACCCTTTTCGCGTCTTTCCCTTCTTGGCCTATCGGCAAGCTCCTCTTCATATCGTTTTTAAATTCGCCACAAGAGTCGGCTCCTGGCTCCATGATGCTTCTGGAAAATCTCCCTGTATCCTTCTCGCAGTTTTTCCAAGGGATCTTCCCCTCCCCTTCGGGACTATTATATACATGGTTTTCTACCTGAACTATCCTCCTCTTCTTCAAATAATGAAAAGAGGTGCTATAGTGGCTATACCCATTGAGACATATAACATAAGGCTTCCTCCAATCGGAGTTATTTACCTTCTCCTCTTTTATATTTTGCTCTTTGTTCATAATTTTTTCAAAACAAGAGTGCAGTTTTTTCAGCCTCTCTCCAATATGGTTACCATCCAAGTAGCTATTTGAAACGGGATCTAAATTTACGTAACAAAAGTTATCCCAATTTTCTTTGTTCTCACTTTTTAAATTTGCGTCCTCCACAAAGTCGTTCATTTCCGATGGAACAGGAGCGGAATGTGCTTTATATTCTAGTTTGCTATCTTCATCATCACTTCTAGCTCCCCTACCCCTACCGGGGGGAGAAGTGCCGTTACTTACTCCGCTACAATCTGAGGCAACATCTTCCCTTTCACTTATAATGACCTGCACCCATTTTAAGCGCACAATGTGCACGCACAAATTATACAAAAAGTTTTGTTCCTTTTGATTTCCTATTAACTGGACAATTTGGTTTATCAGTGCAACTACTGTGTCATCGTGTTTGCTTTTTATTTTAATTCTTAAAATAATTTCGTCTATGATTGGTTCAATTTCTTGGTAGAACTTATGGGGGCACAGAACCCATATCTTCCTCTTCACGTTGGTGGAGGTTATTGAGTAAAAATACTGAGCTGATGGAGTTTCTTCCACTAGAATTTTGAGAATCCCTATAGGTATGACCTCTATTTTGTCCAGAACAATAGAAAAGAGTGGTTGCATTTCGCGCACTTGGAACATGGGCATCATTTTCTTCGCTAGTTTGGTCAGCCTGTGTTTGGGAAGGGGTGTTTCACGTGGGTGAGCGAGTGAACATGTATGTACTGCATGCCGTACACACTTGCACCTACGCATTTATAAAGGCATATACTAGAATTGGTATGGTGCGTTACCCTTTCTGCGACGACTCCGTCGAATTAAGCCTGTTTACAAACTTAGGAGACAAATAATTATCAAACACCGTTCTGTACGTCACATGTTTGGGGATGCTCAGAAACTTGAGGAAATCCACTAATCCTGAGAGGGTCTTATCCTGGAAGGACTGCCTCCTTTGCCACACCTTGCATGCACTCAAAGCGGGGTAGCTGTTCTCCTCTTCATTCTTAAGTTGGTAATTATCTGTACGTGAAAAGGGAAGGGTAATAAATTAGCATGTGCGCAGATTTTCCATGTGGAATATGTGGCAGTCGCTCACTGCGTTGCTTATTGGCCTCAGACTCGGCACTGACATGGGAGCCTTTCCAATGCCTTTGACATTTTTTTTTTTTTTTTGGTTCATTGGTTTTTTCGTCTAATCAATGAGTTGTATTTTATTTGACTTCTTAATTTTGCTTCTATTTATTGTGTCTTTTTTTTTTTTTTTTTCATGTCTAATCATTTCTCCTTTACATTCTATCCATCGAATCAATGCCTTGCGCCCAGCGGGGCCGCAATTCAACCCATTGCTGAAGTGTCCATTTTTTTTCTTCAAGTTGGGGATCCCTCCTTTGTCAAAAATGTTAATGTAATTTAGCTCCTCCCTTTTTTTCCCCTGGACACATTTTCCGTTGGGTTGGAAGTTCCAGCCAGTACTCATAACTCCAAAAAAGAAAAAGTAAACAAAAGGAAACACAAAGTCGAAAAAAGAAACAGAAAGTAACAAAAAAAAAAAAAAAAAACAAACGAACGGGTAAGAAAAAAATTAAGGGACAAATAAAATAATCGCAAAAAAAAACAAACAAAAAATGAAGTACAAATTGGCAACGATATAAGAAAAAACACAAACTGCTCCTTCTATTTAGCGAGAAGGTTAACGTAAAGGTGTCCAAGGATTTGTTAAACCTATTTGCACTTTAGCGTTCACATCCTCATGCTTTGCGCTTTTACACACCTTCGCATTAGAAAATACCGCCTCACCAACACTGGAGCAATAAAAACGAAAAAAAAAAAAAAAATACAGAAAAAAAAATAAAAACGAACAATTGTGGATACACACCCTCAGTGTCTCAGACTTGCCTCATCGACGAACATACATACATATTAATGTGTATAAACCTCATGTGGTAATTTCCTATTTACCACCCTCAGCACGATTTTGATGCTCATACATGGTGATATATATATATTTTTCTTTTCCTCTCCTGTGTGTTCTCACTTTGTTTAATTATAATTCAACCTATTAAAATGGACGCATGTTGATAATATTTTTTGACAATATGTACAGGTCAATACATGCAAAATTGAAATAAATCATTTTCCGCATTATACCCACAAGGGAATAGGGGGGCGAAGCATATCTCTAACGCACGAATGCAACAATTTTTTTAAGTCACATGCGTGTTGTCATTTGGGGGCCAACACTGCAAACGACATACTAGTCTTCTTGTTTTTTTGCCCCCTCCACGCGGTTTGGCGAATGTTACCCAACCGAGTTACACTTTAAGGAATATTTGTTACACAGGGAACTACTTCTTCACAAGTACATTCCCGTGTGCTAATGCAAAATTTGTTAATAGGGCCACACATTTTTGTCCACGAGATTTTTCCGTTTGTGTCGCTGTTGCGGCTACTCTTTTATTTTCTCGCATTCGATTAAGTGCAAAAATGTGTGTGAAGAAAACGGGTAAGCAAAATGCTAAGGAATACGCGAAGATGCAGAGTGAGGTGGGGAAAAAATAATTCGCATATAGCATTATTCGCTAACACACAGTTTGCTTCTCCCCTACCCGCCGTTGTTCAGCATTACCTTTTTTACCTTCGTGCATTATTATGAACACATAAAAGGGTAGGGGCCTAGGGGCAAAAAACTCTTCCTTGTGCACATAACCCCACAATTTTTTCCTCTTTCACTCCAAATTTCAAATAAGCCAAACGTCGCAACTGTTGCACAAGGCAGAGAATGCAGCATTCGCCACATTTTAAGGAAACATAACCAGACACATTTTTTTTTTTGGCAAAATAATTGAACCAGATTTAAGGTCTCATTTAAAAGAATGTTTACAAATTGGACTCGATGAGATCCACAAAAAATGGAGCAAGAATTTCTTAAAATTTTTTTTTTATCAAAATAACAACAAAAAATGGCGCACTGGAATGAGAAGGGCAGCTGTTTGGGGAAACTCCGACATTTTTTATTTGCGTTCTAGGTGGGCCCCCAAAAAACTAGCTAACCATCAGGAGGATTGACGTTAGGTATCTCGTCTCGGGTAGAGACACGTGCACGGGGTGATCCGCGCTAATGCGGCCCTCACCTATTATGGTGCCTTCGCACTTGGACCAATGTAGCGACCTCCGTATACACAGGAGTAACTCCTCATACCCAACGAGTTTGTTACAACTGGAGACAAAAACGTACCCAGGCTTCTGCACAATTCGAAAGGATATGTACAAAAGTTTCTGGTAAATTTTTAAGGCAGCAGGGAGTAAATAATTGTTACGTGCTAGGGCTGGGGGGTCAACCAATATGACGTCGTATTTTTTTCTCAAAAATTCATCCTTGTTAGTTTTAATCAGTAAATTTTCTACATCCTCTACATCAGTCGTGTCGACTTTGATCTTTCCATATATGAATATATTTTCAACATCCGGAAGGAGCTTCTCCCCGCCTTGCGCAGAGGCGCGTACACGTCCGTGGATGTGATGGCCTAAGCTGCTCACGTTAGTGATATCCCCATTGGGGGGCTTATACAACTGGCTAGAAATAAGGGAACTGCATGGGTTGTCTTTTTGGCATGACGATTTAGGACATCCCGATTCACTCAGTTCAGGAAGGTGGGCATCACCGCACTGTTCTTCTTCCTCGCCAATGCGGTCTGAGGAAAACCCCACCTGAGCGTGTAGACAAACGTTGAGAAACTTCTTAACACAGGAATGGACAAAATTTGTCTTATCCATGACACCGTTGTAATGCGCCGCTTTAATCCCATACTCAATAGCAGGGTAGGACGAATCAACGCAAGTTACTTCCTTAGCGCCATAGTAGGCTAATGTAATTCCAAACGAACCAACATAAGAATATAAGTCCAGTACCCTCCTATTTTTACAGTAGCTAATAAGCATTGCGCGATTAAATCTTTGGTCATAATACCATCCCGTCTTTTGACCTTTTAAAATATCCACAAAGAAGGTTAACCCATTTTCTATCACTTGGACCGGTGCATTGTATATACCTTTGTACACCTCTTTTTTTAAAGGCAGTTTTTCTAGCTTCCTAATTTTATTATCATTTTTGAGGATTATGATTTCTGGGTTCAGTACTTTCTCTATGCTTTTCAAAATAGAATGCAAAAGAATGTCCATGCCACTGGCATTTATTTGTACACATATTAGTTTGTCAAATTTGTCAATAATAACTCCAGGTAGAAAATCACTTTCTGCATTAACAACCCTAAAGAAATTATCATTAGGGAATAACTCCAGCCTTTTTTTATATGCCTTTTCAATTCGAGACGTAAAAAATTCTTCATTTAAACAGTCATTTACATTTTTACTTAACACCCTCGATGCGATAACAGAGTTCTTATTGTATATTCCTACCCCCAGCTGTTCGTCAAATTCATTTTTTATAGTAACTATGCAGGGACTGTACAAAATTAATTCATCTGCATTTTTTACGTCCTTTGAGTATATCCATGGAAATCCATTTAACACATTTTTTACGCACTTTTCAGTAACCACCAGTGAGGGTCTTTTAGAAGGGGTGTCCACATAGCTTATCTGATTATGATAGTTGTGGAGCCACTTGGGGAGGATTGCACTGTTCTTCCTTTTTGCGAATGCGGAGAAGAAGCCTCTTATAAGAGGATGAACAGGCACCATATGTGGAGCAGGAGGCGAGCAGTTCCTACTGATGCGGATCGTGGTACTTTAACAAAAAGGCAGCCTCAAAATATGACCTCCTTGGAGAACATACAATTAATTGCTCCTCTATTTGGCGCACATTTGTTGCTACATTCAAATGGCTTCTAAGAAAGGGGATGTTTCGTAATTATATTATGACAAAAAAGTGACCTACAATAATGGCGTACGACACTATTTTGTTCTGCTACCGTTTCAACCCTTCCCCTGGGGAGAATATCATCTTCAGTACAGACTTACAGATCGACTGTGTGGCACCTTATTTAATAACATTAATTTTGGATGTGGGAGCACAGCTGCTACCCAGTCGGCGTTTTTCCCAAATACATTCATGTGTACACTTGACCAGTGTAGAGGTCACAGATTTGCCCATCACTCAGTTGTTTTTTTTTTTTTTTTTTTGTTTTTTCAAAAATCGAGTTTGTTTATACAGCAACGCAATGTATAGTGGCCCCCATGGGAAGTAAAATAGGCGGGGGATTTTATTATATGTGGACTTTCCTTTTTTTTTTTACCCCTTTTGCATTTGGTTAATATGGCGGCGCTGAATTTTGCGCCTTCACTTTGCCTTTTGCCCCATTGTTCACGTGCATAATTTGAACGAAATTTATTTTATTTTTTTTTTTTCTTCACAATTGACGAAAAAATTGTTGGAATAAAGATGAAAAAATTACGCCATTATAAATTAGTATAGGCTGGGGATAATAAGAAAAAAAAAAACAAAAAAGAAGGAAACGTAAAATAACAAGGGCAAAGGGCATTTGTTTCGGAAATATATGTTTTTTAAAATTTCCATTTTTTTTGTGGAAATGTTTTTTTTGTACTCAGCAGCTGAGAGGCGTTCGCGCGAGAATATAAAACTCACGTGGTCTTCTCACATTTGCATAGGCCCCACACGCGCAGAAGTCGTTTATGCATACATGTAAGTTCAATTATTATATACCTGTAACTCCCATACATAGCTATAACCGCCAGTGGCTTAATTTTCCCCGTCGCCCCGCGCTAGAAGTTAAAACCAATCGGTTGTTCCCATATAGGGACAAACATGCCTGCAACACCTGCGCGGCCTTCCCTCTCAGCATGAATAGGAAGCTAATTCAGACGAGCGTAAATTAATACGCACGTGAATAAGGCGACCATTCGTGCATAAGCCGAACATAAATCTACATTATGTGAAGTGGAAGGGTGTCTGGCTCACTTTTACGAGTGAAGAATCCCAAAGGCGAACATTCCCTGCAACTTCATCCCCAAATCAACGTATTAGCTAGCACGAAATGTACAACGGAATCGGACTGAAGACCCCAAGGGGGTCAGGGACCAATGGGTACATCCAAACAAACATGGCGCACATTCGAAACGCAAGAAATACAGTTAGAGATTATGAGAAATTCAGGAACGAATTGAAGATGAATAATATAGTCGACAAAAGACACACATGTGATTATTCAATTATTGAACACTCAGAAAAAAGAAAAATAGAATTAAAGGTTTTACTATATGAAGAAAAACTACGAGAGGAGGGAAAGCAAAATGTTCAAGATTTAGTCGATCAGTATAGGAATCAGTTGTATGAAGAATATTATGATGATAAAAAAAGGAAAGAAGGAACCGCCGGAATGCATTCTAATAGGGATACAACGTGTGAGGAAAATACCCACATGCTTAATGATAGGAAAAAAAAACAACTACAGGATTTTCAGAGGGCCTTACGAATTCGAAGAGAAAATAGTAGCGATCGAGGGATGCTACTAGGGAAGGACAACACCAAGGGGGGTTCATCCTATGGGGCCAAAAGTGGAGAAAAAGGTCGAGAAGAAAATAACTTAATCAAAGATCTGGGAAGAGAACATAAAAGAGCTACAGAAAAAATGAAGGAAAAGACAAAGAGAAAAGAAAAGAGAGACAGCAAAAAGCACAAACATAGGAGGAAGAAAAGGGAAGTTCTTGACGACAGTGATGATACATACCAGGGGGGAAGTAGCGAAGAGAGTGATGAAGAGGACGACGAGGGTAGCAGTGCCTCAAGTAGCGACGCAACAAGCCGTGACGAAACCAGCAGTGACGATTATTCCGATGAAGACTCCAGTTCGCCTTCAGAAGAATCAGACCATTCGGGAAGCTACGAATCGTCTGAATCATCTGAATACTCTGCGACATCCAGTGACGAAAGCTCCATACATAACGCCAAGCGTCGTAAGTCGCTTAAGAAGAAACGGCGAGATGAAATGAAAAGAAGGAGAAGCAGTTCTGAGGAGTCTTCATCTCCGAGAAGAAGAACGCATAGAAGCAAGAAAAGAAGAAAATCGAAAGATACAAATAAAAGTTCGGATGCGTCTAACTCCTCAAGGGATGCATGCGATTCGGTCAATTATACCAGTTCACATGACTCGAGTGATTCGTCGCCAAGACGCCGATCCGACAGCATGAAAAGGAAACCCGTTGGAAAGGTGACGGAACGGGAGAAAAACAACAATATTGCTGCGGACCGTAAGGACGAAGATCGCAAACGTGTGAGTGCCAGGAAGGATCGAGATAAGGGAGGCAGGCACAGCGGGCGAATAGATGAGTCAAGTGAAGAAAGTGACAGCAGTGACAAACGTCACGAACGCAAAAAACGTGAAAAACGTGACCGACGTGACTATAGTGAAAAGCCCGAAGGGCCAAATAAACGCTCCCCGAAGAAAGACGCACATCATCACGTGCGCGCTCGGGCGAGCGATTCCTCCTCCCCCAAGAGAAACATAACACGCAGGCTCGATGATGCACAAACGGACGATCGCACATCTGGGAAAGCCCATAAAGAGAGCGATAAAAAGCAGAGGGACAAATACAGAAAAAGAAGTGCCAGTAGCAAAAGTAGCAGTCTCAGTGCACCGAGAAAGAAAAAAAGAATCGAAAGTGGAAAAGATTTACATGCGGATAATCATGAAAGGAAGAATAAGCAAAAGAATGAAAGTCCAAATTTGGATTTGGCACAATTTGAGAACACAAAATTTGAGAGTGCAAAAATGAACAAGCAACCCACCCATGAGGAAACGCTACAAATTATTAACAACATTAAAAAGTACTACAGCAAAAAAGGACGGAACAACAGCGACGAATCCGAGGGAACACATTCTCCAAAGATACACGTGAGTGATGATGATGATGATGCCAGTTCATCTGAACGCAGGATACAACGTCCAAAGAAAAACAACAAGAGGAGTGATTCCCTTGACAGAGACAGAAGCGAACGCAGCAGTAGCATAAGCAGTAATAGACGTAGAGTTCATAAACACAGCAGTTCCAAAAGTAAAGTTAGTCACAAGGACAAAGAATCGAGAAGTGTAGCTGCAAAAAATGATCGTAGACGTAAACAACACACGGAAGAAGATAAAGAAGGAAAACATGGATACAAAGAACAGTCAAAAAATCGTACAAGTAAATCGAAGAAAGGACAAGAACATAGGCAGGTGAGTGAAGACGAGCATGAGCAATCATCAAGTGAAAAGGAAAAGGAAGAAGACGATAAAAAGGAAACCAGAAAAGAAACTCCCACTAAGGAAGAAATGCAGCAACAGGAAGAAGAACAAAACAATAATGCCAAGAATGAGGAGACCAAAGGGGATGATAACAGTAACCCAAAAGAACGGAAAAAGAAATTTCTGTTTTTTTAAATCTATGAGATGAGACCGACAAAAGTATCCCATTTGTGAAGACGCGAGCTGGAAAAAAAAGCGCCGCAAATACCACGAAAGTGTGCCATGCGCAGAACCTACAAGTGTGCGTTCATATATAGGTAGGCCCCCGTTCGATACTGACCTTTTTAAGGAGCAAAAACATCACAGCGATGTGCAAAAATTTTTTTGTTTTTTCCGATTCGATGGCAGTTGAATTTTATGACCTGCTTTTATTTTCTTTAAATGATACATTGTACATTTTTGTTTTATTGTATCGAATTGTGTGGTTTTAGATTATTTGTTTTTGTTGTTCCATATGAAACTAGGAACAGGGCGATGCCAATCGCGCTGCAGTTTAAAATTAAAAAGACTCATTATTGAAAAGGGGTGCGCAACAAGATTGCGAAGCGGAGAGGCGATCAAGTGACAGAGCCTCCTTGTTTACTTTGCCAAAATGTACATATTCGGTGGATGCAGCCTGCGCAGGGGGTATTCTCGTGACGTGCACAAAAATGTAATAAAAAAAAAAAAATGTAAAGGGGGAGTGAGAAATTATCACATTCTTGGGGAGTAGACATGTAAGATGCACATTTGCAAAGGTGCCACAAGTGTACACTGTTGTACCACGTTGCGGCTTCACCGCAAGACCGTTCACACACCCTAATTGCGGCTCTTATTTTTAAACCACTGCAAGACTCCCCCGAGCAAGCTGACGGTCTCAAACTCGGCCTTGTCATGGTTCAGGGAGGTGAGCAGTTCATGGTAGTTTTTATCCAAGTCTGGATTATCATCGCTAGTATCAATCAATTTAGAATCCTGGAAGAATGCGTCACCCCCAACAGTGATGGCCTTGCCCTTGGTGAAGTACTCAACCCACAGGTTATAGAAGTACCGTAACAAATGCGTCACTGTCCATGCAGCCGGAGCAAATATGAACAAAAACAAGGAAAGGGAAAACTTGTAAGCGTTTTTCTTTTCTAGTACAAACATCTCTTGGTAAAAGGGAGTAACATTTTTCCAAAGGTGCAAATTTTTCTTTATATAATTGCAAAAATAATCTACACATATGGTATCACAAACGACTAAAATTTTGACCTCTTTCCTTTCTGGACCTAATTCATACTCTGCATATAACTCTGTTTTTTTCATTTGATTTCTGAATGTGTTTATTTGATCATATGTGGTTTCGTTAACGAATGAAAGAAGTCTTTCTTTAAGACTTTCTTTCTCTAAATTGCTAGTCTCGTACTTATTCCTACTTCTACACTGATGGCTATCATTTGGAGGTACATAAAATTTGGACCTAAATACCTTCAGCAGAATTGCATGCAAATTGTAAATTAGGTAGAGGGCATTTTCTGCAATTAGTGCTTGGTAAAAATTGGGGGCATGATTCTCTAAGTTTAATTCTCTATCATCTTTTTTGTGTCCATCTTGACGGGGAGGAACATCTGAAGTGCCCGAAACTGCCTTATCACTGTTGATGAGGAAATAGTACACCAGGGAAAATATTTCCTTAGGGTTACTAAAAATAGCTGTGCCGATACTCGCCAATTCGGTTAGCCTATCTCTACCGAGGCAAAAGTGAGGCACATTCAAAAGGAGACATTGTTGGATGAGCGAAATGTACTGACCATTCACTTTTGTCATATTCGAATGAATGGAGTCAATCATTTTTCTCCTAACCAATTCAGCTCTGTTAAAAGATTTCAAAATTTTATCATAGTCTACATAGCCTATTCCGAATATTGCAAAATCATAATTTGTCTTGGACATGTCTTTAATTATATTCATACTTTTCATTTCTAGCATTTCTGCATTGCTTTTATTTCGAGGAACTAGGTCGAATACGTGTAGCGATATATTTGTTTCGTCCCATTTGAGGCTTATTTTTCTATACTGTGCACCTGGGCTGTCGCTGCTTTTCCACATGGTACCCGCAGCGCTGAGGCTGTGTTTGCATCTGCGCCCCGAGATGCGCAGCATTTTGCTGTTGGAGGGGGCGGCACTCGGTGGAAGACGCACAAAACAAGACACAAGCCGCGCGCACCACCAAATATCAGCTCATCATGGTCTACCTCTGCACAGCGGCCACACTCCAGACAGCTTCTTCATACAACTGTGAACAGTTCAGCGAAGTGACCCATCAACACCCTTGTCACTTTTCCGTCCGCTTCCGCTTTCTCCCACCTCCTTGCATGCTAACATCCGCAAAACGTTCATGGCACAATGGGAAACTGCTTCACCATAAATGCCCGCAACAGAAAATGCTAGTCTTCTGAATTTGTATCGATGTGCATATACCCACGTGAGCCTTCTTCAAAAATGAAAGGCGCAAGGGGAGGATGCCGTTTGGAAGCTACACTTATACGCACATCCCACAGCGTCATTAAAAAAAAATAATAATATAACTTATAAATTTTCTCCAAATGTTTGCAGGGGGGTGTACGCATCATGTGCGTGTTCGTTGTGTTACCACACGTTTGCCTGCCCAGCCGAAAAAAAAAAATGCTGGAGAGGGCAGCACAATATGATCACATCTGCATTTTTTTTTTTTTTTTTTTTTTTTTGCTACACGTTTGAACATTTCACATGTGCGCAATTTTAACAGTAAGCAGCCTCATGCTCTTCATTCTGAAGGAACCTTGTTCATTTCTTTCTTCGCGACGGGTGGATAGGCACAGATTTTTTTTTTTTTTTAAAGCTGACGACTCCTATATAAGCCCCTAATGCATACGTGCATAGCGTGCACATATCGCGCTATGCATAGCTGCGTCGTAGAGGCATAGGTTGCATCTGAGTAGTTGTAGTCCCGACTTAACGCTGTTCCATTTGCGATGTAGAAGGAGGATCGGAATAACGTATTGCCATACTTCATCATCTCATGTGTGTCATAAGTGGATCAAAAATCTTCATAACAATTACACACGTAACACAGATGCGTAGAAATAACTCGCTCCAAAATCAAACGCAAATTGCACAATGATACGCATAGGCAGGGAGAGAGAGCGCTACAAAAAAGATGACAACAAACAATTTGAGAAGGGTATTTGTCGCGGGCTATGCCAGGACGCCTATTGGTTCCCTGAGTGGGAGCCTGTCACAAATACCTGTGCATAAGTTAGGTTAGAAAATGGCAAATCTGGGGAGAGGCACTTGTGCATAAAGCACGTTTGTCGTCCTGCGTTGGGACGATTCACCCCCACAAATGTGCATGTAATCGATCTATACATATGCATCCTTCCTTTTTTTTTTCTCTCTTTTCTTTTTTTGCACATCACTGTGAAGCCGGCCCAACCATTTTGAAGGCCCTGGAGCGAAGCCAAATTGAAAAGGACGAAGTGGATTGCCTAATCTTCGGACAATCGTTCCCCGCGGGTTGCGGCCCGCTGCCCCTCCAGAGAGTTGTAGTTGCGACGGGTTAGTCATTCAAGGTGCTAGATATAGAAACAACGAAGGAGATTCATTCCTTAATGAGTGCTCTCCCATTTCATGTGCCCCTCCTGCAATGTGTTCACACCAATATCCGATTCTCCCCTCTGACTTCCCACTCCACTGCAGGGATAAACCTAAATGCGAAGACGCACCTTGTAAGCAACCTGTGCTGCGGAGGGCTGGACGCCGTAACCCTCGGTTATGAGCTAATAAAAGGCGGGAAGGACATCTGCGTAGTTGGTGCCATGGAATCCATGTCTCAAAGCCCGTTTTATTTAAAAAATGTAAGAACAGAAAAATTCAATCTCGGGAACAGCTTCCTAAATGATAGCATCGTGTGCGATGGGTACGACTATATTGTTAGCAAAAAGGAATTAAAAAAAAATAATAACATGGAACAGTTTTGCAAAAAATTTAAAATCCCCAGAGTAGACCTCGATGCATATGTTGTTAATTCGTTTAAAAGAACAGCCAATGCATACAGTGATAATTTAATTCAACAAGAATTGTTTCCATTAATAATTCAAAGGAAGAAAAATCCCATCACGAATGAAAAAACTGTTATTGAAAATGATGAAATGTACAAAAAATATAACCTTGATGATATATGTAATTTAAGTGTTGATTCTGTAGTAACGAGCTGTAACACTGCACCCTTTGCAGATGGTGCCTGTGCAATTGTACTTATGAGTGAACATAAAATAAACCAACTGCAAATAAATCCCTTAGTGGAAATTGTGGCGTATGATCATGCATCCGTCTACCCTTCGGATGCTCCAATCAGTATCTCTCATTCAATTATGAAGTGTCTTAAAAAGGTAAATAAATCCTCTGTTGATTATTACGAGATTAATGAATCGTCCGCCTTAGACGTAGTGTACAACATGCGCAACCTAGGCTTAGACGATTCCAATGTTAATATAAATGGCGGGGCTTTATCCTTAGGGCATCCAAGTTCTGTTTCCGGATCCAGGATCCTTATTGCGCTCATTACTGTTTTGAAGAATTTTGACATGAAGTTGGGTTGCGCTTCTATAAATAACTACTTAGGTACATCCACCTCTGTCATTGTGGAGAACGTCTAGCTTTTTTCTTTTTTTGGTTCTCGCCACACGAGCATACTGAACTTTGAAATAAAGCGCCACCCCCCCCTCTCCACCATACACACATGCCCCTTTTACTTCTTTCCTCTTTAACCCCACTTTGGCAATACCATTGGCTATGCCTTTACATTTTTTTTCGTTTTACCACCACGTCCATCTATTTGCATAACTTTTGCCAGCCTAGTTGGCAAAAGGCGATTTTCACAATTTGGAAAACTTAAAACGGTAACATCACCATGAATGTTATTTATACATACAAAAAAAAAAAAAAAAAAAAAAAAAAAAAAAAAAAGTGTTCTTTTTTACATGCATCATTTATGTCCCTCTCGCAGCGTGCTCGGTGTCTAAATTTTGTTAAGCGAATCTATCCGCATAACATTCATCAGGTTAACACCTTCGCGGGAATTGCTTGAATTTTCCTCTACTTCATTTATTTTTTTAGCGCTGTGCAGAAATTTCTTCTTTTTCTTTTTTTCCACAATGTAGTATCTGTTCTTGTTAATCTTTCCCTTGCGTATGGCATTCTTACCCTTGTCCATGTGGCCATTTATATGATTCCCATCACAAAGGGGGGTGCCACGTTTTGGCGTCCCCTCGTTTGACGAATAGTCCGTATGGTGGGCGAGGTTTGCACAATTCTGATTACTTTGTTCGTTACCCGCTTGGAAAAGATCTCTTGTTTTTTTACCTTCACTTTTTGCTTGGTCTTCTATGAATTCACCATCATTTGGGTGTTTCTCTTTTTTGATCGTCTCTTCCCCTACGCCTTCCCTGCGTGTTGACCAGGTGTCTGAGGCATGACCCACTTGACTGACTTCCCCCTTTTGTTCAATTTTTGTTCCCTTCGACACTTCACCCATTTCGCAGTCCAACTCTTCCCTTTTAAATTCCGCGTTATCTCCCCCTCCTCCCGAATTGGCATTTACACCCATCACTGTGACATCACCTTTCGTGTCTTCCCTGTCCCCCTGGCCTGATTTATCCTCTGGGATTGCCTTGTCCACTGGTGGGGGGTTATCCAGCGAGAGGGTCTTGTCGGGGCGGAGGGTATCCTTCGCCTCATACGTTTCTTCATCCTCATATGTTTCTTTAGCATTATACGTTTCTTCATCATCGTAGGTTTTTATAATCTGGTCCCCCGCTTCCCCCTTTTGCAGTCCCTGCGCAGTTCCGTTTTCTCCCAGATGGTCTGTCTTCTTAATTTTATATGCTCTTTTACATTTTGCGCTCCTCTGACGGAGGAATAAAAGATTCTTTGGCACATTATCGAACGTGCTCTTCCCAAAATATAGGTGCTGTATATGCTCCATAAATAAATTCACAGAAGTGCTATTCCGTTCGTACATCACATAAGCACTGTTTGGCACGGTGTGCAACTGTTCCGTCATTTCTACGTTGTTCATTTTGCAATCTCTGGGGGGACCAATTGGCTTTTCCATATGACCACCCCCTTCTCCAATCACGTGCAGCATACGTGCGCGTGTGCTCCCTGTGCCATCTTGAATAAGACAATCAGATCCATCTCTTCCATTAAGAGACAAATGCTCGTTTGTGTATTTCCTCCTTGTTACTGTCTTCCCGGGGGGGGTGTTCCTACATGCCTTATCCTCATCTCTATGTATGCCGCTTAAAATATATTCGTCAAAAATTTTTTCAACCACTTCATACACTCCTTTATTTCTTAGTACGCTAATATTATATACCTGTATGGGCATACGTTTGCAATTATTAACACTATCGCTAACAATCTTTTTGAGTAACCTTTCTAGCAGTTGGTCACTTTCGATATCGTCTACAGTTATAGCCCCCTTTCGCCCTCTCTTGATGTCCTCCACGATATCACTGTGCGTTTTTTTTTGTGCTTCTTCAGGAAGGCGCCCTTTTTGAATATTTTCCTCCCGTTTAGCTTTCTTCTGGTCGGTTTGCTCCCCCGCAAGGTCATCAGCGAAGGCTCCATCCCGAACCCTTTCATGGAGCAATCCCAAATAATGCTCCAAAAAGGTGTTATCACTCGACAGAAGGAACTGCCAGAACCTTTCATTTTTGTACACATCTATTGAATTTATATAATTGGATATACAAGGGGCAGAAAAAAAGGCTGACGTGTCTTCGGATTTATTTCCTAGAATGAAAATAGGTTTTAAAAATTTCCTTCCCTGTTTACAGGTGGTGCTGTCATCAGGAAGTCTCCCACAGGTACTTAAACAAGACAAATAAAGGATGGCCTTAAAAATGTGTTTCTCATCCTTAGCATCAATCACGTAAAATATAACGTCTGCGTCATCATAATAACAATCGTAAATATTTTTAGTGTTTGTCGCCGTGCCTTCCAAGTCATATATTTTTAAAGGCTTTTTATTGAAGGTAATTTTCTTCGTGTTAAATCCGAGGGCACAAGTGCCATTTTTATTCCCCGTGTTTATAACCGTATTTAACATGTCATATTTGCTTTTATTGTGAAAACTACCTATCAGATTGAATAGACTCGTTTTGCCTGATTCGCACTCGCCGATTATTAACAAGCTCAGCGCATTTTCGTCTTGCGCGTTGGAAAAGACGGACTTTATTAGGGAGAGCATTTTTGCTTCGTTTCGTGCTGCATCGATTTTTTCCCTAAGCCGCTTGCTACTTCTCTGCGAGTTACACACGACAAAACACTCGTCAAATATTTTCTTTCATGGGTGTGTAATCCTACACATGGTATTTATCACGTCGAAGATTCTTCCCTTATTTAACCTAAGCGTTTAAGTTACTTTTGTCAGTAACTTCACACGTGGACGCGGGAATGTCCTCCTACGAGCAGTCATGCGGTCTGTTGTGCTTACAACAACCCACCCCCGTGGCAATATCAATGCACAGAAATTTCAATTCCTTTGCTACGGCATAAATGTGTGTCTCCCCGTGTAAGCATACACAGATTGACACATACATTTGGGACTGCTTCCCTTTTTGCTTCTTCATTTAAATATGAGCAGTTCCTGATTTTATGCAAAACATGCTTCCGTCCACTTCTGCGAAGGCAAATATGAGCTTCAGTAATTTTTCACTTTAAAGTGGCCAAGGTGTTGTAGTACAATAGTAGGGGGGTGGAACAAATAATTTCCTTTTAACGTGCCACATACACAGTTGCTATTGCGTCAAAGCCGATTGTTCAAAAGCGCAGCGCCTTATGATTTCAAAAGCCCCTTTCTACAATTACAAAAATGGAGATATATAAACATGCAGAAAAAAAGAACGTATGTCCGTGTTGCGCTCATCTACGCGCATTCACGAGGTAGTACATATACGTCCTCATCAGTTGGGCCATTTGCACACAAACGACTAATAACGATGTCAAGGTTTGTTTCACCCCAAATTTTAAAAATGCGCAACTTTTACTTCATTTTTTTTGCATCCAAACTTGGAGGCATATACATAACAATGTGCCCCTCAATTTTTCGCAAATTGAATTTAAAAAATTGTGGATAGAAAAATTGAAATAAATAAATGGCGTAAAGGCGAATAAAATAAAATAAAAACCCGCTCAGGAGTGTGAGGCTCGCCCCCAAATGTTCACATCATATTATTTAAGGGGAACATGCAGGCGTGAACGAACAAGTGGTGTTGCTCCTTTGTGCATTTAAACATGAACGAAACCACGTTCCATGTGTCATCCAACAAAATGAAAAGAAGCTGTGGAAGGATACACTAAGGGAATGTTTTCACGTCCGTTATATATTTACACCCCGCTGAGGGTGCACTCCCATTTTGTTTTATTGTACATATTTATATTTTTTTTTTTTAATTCATTCAGGCGAACGCATGCAGCATACATGACGGCATTTTTTTTTTTTTTTTTGTTTTTTTTTGGTTGCCGAATGTAGGCACAATTTAAAATATTCTCAGCACATGTTCAGGTACTCCTGCGAGACATTGTCAAATGCGCTAAGCGACTATAGATGGCTTGGATATTTTACACCTTTTTTCTACACAATAATTTGATGTAAAATGGCGTGAAGAACAAGTGGGCTTGTTTCTTCGTGTATTAAAATAATTTCCCCGCCAATTAACAGATTTTACTTTTTTAATAGCACCTTGCTTCCATTACAGTGTCACACAATGGTCCAAACCGTACACACAAAATAAAGAATTGTGCGCTGGGAGATTAATGTGACCCACACGATTGCATTCCTGGGGGTATCAAGTCCCCCAAAGGTACACACTACGCACAGGCGCAATTTCCCGTGTGTGGGGGAACAAATGAACATATCTTTTATGCAATTCTTCCCAAACCGCACTCGTCTAATTGTAGCGCATTTTATGGTGTTTTAAAATGTTGTTGAATATACAAATCTGCCATCTTAATGCATAATTTTTAATAAATATTAATGGAAGCATTTTTGTTTTTTTTTTCCCGCTATAATTTACACACATTTGTGTGTTACATTAGGCGCGCGATAACACGTATTATGTTACGGAACCTTCCTTTCATCCCTTTGCTACGCTGCTGGAAAATATGCGCCTTTTAAAACATTTCATGAATTGGAGAAGCATATATACTTGCGTGATACAAAGATACAACGTGGGTTACTTTGTCATTTGGTCGCACTTGTTCAGTTCACTTTGTGAAAGTGCTCCTCAAAAGTTGGAGCAACAACAAAACAACCATATAGAGTTGCACAAGGACACGGGAAGGGGACCCCTTTTACGTACATGTTAAAATGTGTTTCGTGTGCTATTTTTACGGTCTGCACAAGGCTGTTTGAGAAATATGATTAACCGTTAAGATTCCCTCATTGGACATTCATTTTTAACACATAAAGCGGGAACCTCGCAAGACGCGATAATACTGTGGTGACTTCTCACTCGCCATCGGAAGTCGCAAAAAATTTATACGTTTGCATATACGTATGAATGCCCGTTCGGGGAATGACAAATAAAATGGCCCCTATGGGGGAACTCATCAAAGTGTGCTCTCTTAGGGTGTTCTTAACTTTATGTATTACATCGCTGCTTTTTTGTTCACCCCCCTACACTAATTAATAAACTGGTAAATATTGAACTTTGGGGGGGCAAAAAAGCCCGTACGCCTGCCTGATCAACATCGCAACATAATACGCGGAATGATGTGCGGGAGTTTTTCCCCCCACATTTTGAGAATAAAAAATGCATACCTGAGTATCTTCTCAAACCAATTAGAGGTACGCACATGTACAGCTCTCTTACACGCGGTCATATCACAATATTTTAGTGCTCCATGGAGAGTCACTTATTACAATGTACATTTTGTATGCATATGTTTGTACCTATTTTACATACCAGCATACGCACGTGCATACGTTTTATATGCGCGCGTACACGGTGCTGCCTTGTATGGTGCACAGCGGTGTGCCCTCCGTGGTTTCCCCCACTCCACGTACTTCATGTATGCGGCGAGATGCTATAAGTATACTTAGGCAGCGCAGGATGAGCATACACAAAAAGGCGTTATTGCTACCACTCCGTTTCTTTTAATACACAGCCAAATTGTCATTTTTGCGCTTACATGAAGGGGGAAATGTCACATAATTATTCCGATTTATGGCTGGCCCTATAATCGCTACGTACATATATAATACCATCCCAGAGCATTCCCCCATGCAGCCATGTATGTATTTTTTTTTTGTCATATGACACATGGTACGCGAGCACAAGAGTAGGTACATATGGAGGAGGGGTGACAATATTCTTGTTACTATTTTTCACGTTCGGGAAAAGAAAATATTTCGTTGTCCCCAAGTGAGATAACATACCTTTTTTTAGCTGTTTTGTTTTTTTTTTGTGTTATGCCTTTAAAAAAGCATATATATTTTTGGCAACCCGACATAGACGTGATAAACAATAATAAATGCATACCGCCCCCCAAGTTTTTTTTTTAACCGTTTTTTTTTTTTTACAAGCCATATATTGCATTGTGCGTTGCAGGGGAATACGTACCCGAAATAAAAAAAAACATACACTATTATATATACCTGGTGAATTCTTATATGCAATATAACGTTCGGGTCACTTTTGTGCCAAGCCCCTGTATGAATTTTCTACATATCGTATCCAAGGCAAAGCACAGCCAAAAAAGCGAAACCAAAAACGCAAAGTTTAAAAAAGCACAGCAAAAACACCATTGCGTAAAGCAGAAAACGCGTAGCAATATTTTACCACCTTAACAGTATATCTTTAAAAAAAAATGTAGGAACGTGAAAAGTTCGCGCAAACACCAGTTAAAGTCAAATTTGCAACTTGTTTTAAAAAAACAAACCAACTTTATATGAGTTTTTTTTGAGAAACATACGTATTTTATAATATACCCTCCTTGGTACCGCGCACGCACCAAACATACGAGAATTCAATACTTGAGTATTGTAGCGAACGCTTTTTATAGTAATGAACAAATACGGGAATGTGTCCTACTGTTTAATTGCAGCACGCTAATAAAAAAAACACCCTTGCGCATATTTACATCCATATGTAAAATTCCCCTCTGGGAGAAAGTATCACATGGAAAAGTAGAAAAAGTATTTAGCGCCTGTTTTATAAAATATACATATATATATATATGAGCGACCAGTTCGAACACGTGTACATATAAGCTTGTTGTACTTTGCTGACTTGTACTTCTATCCCTGCGCGCGTGAAAATATATCTCGCAAAGTGTTAAGGGGAACAAGCAAAACACGAAAGGGGTTTTTCGTTTAGCATTCACGCATACCGCGAATTCCGCCCCAACCCCCCAGCGCGCCGTATTGGCCAAACAAGGAATCAAAACAAACCAAACCAACCTATACCCCCTCCAAGAACATATAAAGGTAGAGCAAAATGGTGAACTTCACAGTGGATCAGGTTCGTGAGATCATGAACAAAACCAAACAGATCAGGAACATGTCCGTTATAGCACATGTGGACCATGGAAAGTCAACCCTAACAGATTCTCTAGTTTCCAAGGCTGGTATTATCTCTAGCAAACATGCAGGAGATGCGCGTTTTACGGACACAAGAGCAGATGAACAGGAAAGGTGCATTACCATCAAGTCAACCGGTATTTCTATGTACTTTGAGCACGATTTAGAAGATGGAGAAGGAAAAAAACCCTTTCTTATTAACTTAATCGATTCCCCAGGACATGTTGATTTTTCATCAGAAGTCACAGCAGCCTTAAGAGTTACAGATGGTGCTTTAGTTGTGGTTGATACCATTGAAGGAGTGTGTGTACAAACAGAAACTGTGTTGTACCAAGCTTTAGGAGAAAGAATCAAGCCAGTGTTACATGTAAATAAAGTGGACAGAGCATTGTTAGAATTACAAATGGAAGTGGAAGATATTTATCAGACCTTTGCCAGAACGATTGAAAGTGTGAATGTCATTATCTCCACCTATACGGACAAGCTGATGGGAGACATTCAGGTATACCCAGAAAAAGGAACAGTGTCCTTCGGTTCAGGTTTACAAGGCTGGGCTTTCACCTTAGAAACATTTTCTCGAATTTACTCTAAAAAGTTTGGTATTGAGAAGAGCAAAATGATGCAGCGCCTATGGGGTAACAGCTTTTATGATGCCAAGACGAAGAAATGGTCCAAGAATCAACAAGAAGGATATAAGAGAGGTTTCTGTCAATTCATCATGGAGCCAATTCTAAATTTGTGTCAATCCATCATGAATGACGATAAGGAAAAGTACACAAAGATGTTGACAAATATCGGAGTTGAATTAAAAGGAGATGATAAAAATTTAACAGGAAAACAATTATTAAAAAAAGCTATGCAATTGTGGTTACCAGCAGGAGATACGCTACTAGAAATGATTGTCACGCATTTGCCATCTCCAGCCACAGCACAGAAATATCGTGTAGAGAATCTGTATGAAGGTCCCATGGATGACGAAGCAGCCAATGCTATTCGAAACTGTGACCCACAAGGTCCTCTCATGATGTACATATCTAAAATGGTGCCCACATCTGACAAGGGAAGATTTTATGCCTTTGGTCGTGTTTTCTCTGGAACAGTTGCAACAGGACAGAAAGTAAGAATCCAAGGTCCACATTACGTACCAGGAGAAAAGACAGATCTGTATGAGAAGAATATCCAAAGGACTGTTCTTATGATGGGTAGGTATACCGAACAAGTACAGGATGTGCCATGTGGTAATACCTGTTGTTTAGTCGGAGTAGATCAGTATATTGTAAAATCAGGAACGATTACCACTTTTAAAGAAGCACATAACATTGCTGATATGAAGTACAGTGTCTCTCCAGTCGTGCGTGTTGCTGTGAAGCCTAAGGATAGCAAACAGTTACCAAAATTAGTTGATGGTCTTAAAAAATTGGCCAAGTCGGATCCATTAGTCCTATGTCAGACGGATGAATCAGGAGAACACATCATTTCTGGTTGTGGTGAATTACACATTGAAATTTGCTTAAAGGATTTAAAAGACGAATATGCACAGATTGACTTTATTGTATCCGACCCTGTTGTGTCGTATAGAGAAACTGTCACAGAAGAGTCCAACATCACTTGTTTGGGTAAGTCACCAAACAAGCACAACCGTCTGTTTATGAAAGCGTTCCCATTAGCTGAAGGGTTACCAGAAGATATTGACAAAAGCAAAGTATCAGATAAGGATGATCCAAAAGCAAGGGCAAATTACTTACACAATAATTACCAATGGGACAAAAACTTGGCCTTGAAAATTTGGGCATTCGGACCTGAAACAATTGGACCCAATTTGTTGACTGATAATACTAGTGGTATCCAGTACATGAATGAAATTAAGGTGCACTGTGTAGCAGCATTCCAGTGGGCATCCAAGGAAGGAGTATTGTGTGAAGAAAACATGAGAGGTTGTGAGTTCAGAATGTTAGACGTTCATATGCACGCTGATGCTATACATAGAGGTGCTGGACAAATTATGCCTGCTTGTAAGAAGTGTATCTACGCATGCGAATTGACTGCTTGCCCAAGATTAGTAGAACCGATTTACCTTGTTGATATTAGTTGTCCACAAGATGTTGTGAGTGGAGTATACTCTGTATTAAACAAAAGAAGAGGTATTGTTATTTCGGAAGATCAGAAGTTAGGTACTCCATTACTCAAAATTCAGGCACATCTCCCCGTCGCAGAATCTTTTGGTTTCACCTCTGCATTACGAGCTGCAACCTCCGGACAAGCCTTCCCACAATGTGTCTTTGATCACTGGTCTGTACTCTATGATGATCCATTTGACTCCAACAAAAACTCCCACAAAATTATTATGAACATTAGGGAGAGAAAGGGTATTAAGGTCGAAATGCCACAGTTAGACAACTACTTGGATAAGTTATAAGTGACCATTCCTCCTTTGCGCCCCACTTTGGATTCATCCATGTGGCCACGTTTCCATACCAACAGATGTTATCACCCGAGGGTGTGGACATGGTGAAAATGCTTCCCCCTGTACGTGTCCCTCTCAGCATGAGTGTATTAACCACAAGGGTGCATTTCACCACGCAGCACCTTTTGCGTGTAGGCGCCTCTGCACATAAGGCAAACCTAGCCCTACAAGATAAAAATATACAATGCATTTATTACTAGTCATATATACATACGTTTACATTACATACATGCAAAAAAAAAAATATAAAAAAATATAAAAAAAAATAATAATAATATAATTCATTTTTTCTAAACGTGCGTACGGACGTTCTATTTCTTGTGTTTTTTGCCCTACCCAACAAGAACAAAAAACGCATTTGCAATTTTCTTGCGTAATCTGAACATTTTGAACCTATGTAGTGTTTTTAACCGAGTAGAACATATTTTTAATTCCATTAAGTTACTCCTCTTTTCGGTCCCTCTCCAGGGGTTCCTCGAGAAGTGGGTATGTGTATGGGGGCCGTGGTGCCATAACTGTTCTCCCACCAAGCTGTACATCCGCATACGTAGCACATGCAGGAATATGCCAATGTGTATCTTATCGAAAAGGCAAAACAGGCACCTCTTTTTGTTCGTAAATTTTCACCACAGTCCACACAATATATCTTTTTACACCACCGGTGTAACACATCCCGCACAATGTAGTACAGCCTATCTGCATGTAGCTTCCACTAAAATGCAAACCTTTTTGGTTGTTCGCCCGCTTTTGTGATGTAGAAGGGAACTGAATGAATTCCTTTTCTCGCACTTTCGCGAAATGTCACATTGTGGCGGTTACGTTAAAGTGGTCACTTCGGTAGAATGAAAAAAGGAACTTGCTCGTGGATGAACAGTTCACATAAAATAACATGTAGAGAAGGACGAATATTTTACGGAGAAATAAAATTTGTCCTTTTAAGTAGCATTCTCAGCTGATCTCAACACATTGGAGTGAGCATGTACTACGTACGTATATACACATGATGTGATGTCTGTTTTTTTTTTTTTTCCTTAATTTTCGAGCCGCATAACGGAATCGCTAGTCAAAATTTACCCGTTAAGGTAAATGTTAAATTCAGTAGGGTTAATATTAAATGAGCTCCAGGGAGCCATATTTAATCGGTTCAGTTATACAGAAAACAAAACGAAAACAAAAAGGTGGTTTTTGCTTCATGCGGTGGGACAAAAAAAAATACGCACAAAAAAAAAGAAAAAAAAAGGTGGCATTTTTTCGAAAAAAGGGCATATTTTTCAAAAAAGGGGCCTGTTTTAAAGAAAAAAAGACTTTTCCGAAAGGACAAGACAGGCGCTTTACTTCCCATCATTATAGCCAAACGAATTTTTCAGTATCGACAAGGAGCAATCCGGTATCCTAAAATTTCTCTCGAGGACATAAATCTGCTCATTAATCATTTTTGAGCACTCATCCAAAAATATTTTTTTAATTTGGGACACCATTCTCAAGCAGTTTAAAATTTCCTTCTGCGTTTTGTCCTTTATGCTCATAAGTTCGTTATCCTTTAAATGGAATGTCTCCTTCAGCAGTGTGTCGATGTCCTTTTCGCGCGTTTCGTTCATATGCCTTACAGTGTGGGCACCCGTTCTGGGTAAGTTCTTGTATTCTGTAATGCCGCTACCATAGTCACGTAGAGACACATCTGTCGCGCTTTTTCTCGGTTTGTCTTTTTCGCTGCATTTGGAAATGTCTAAAGAGTTCCTGTTGACTTCGAAGGGTGCACAAACTTTGGTTTCCTCATCGTAGGTTTTGATAGAGGCGCTAGCATTTTCTCCGTCAATTTTGGATTTACTATCTCCTAGACCTTTTTCGTTGACGCCAACACCACCGCTGGGGTGGGTCTCTAACTCCGCGTCGGCTTCTTTCTTCACAGCGCCGTCAACACGGTCGGGATTATTATTATCAACCGGTACATCCGTCATTACGTTTTTCTTAAAAAACCAAATAATGTTCGAAATTCCGAATGATTTTTTTTCATCTTCATCCTTCTTTTGTGTTTCCTCTTTCTGTACATTTGCACTCTGTGGATCTGTGCCCTTTGGTCCATTATGTATCTTTTCCTCACTACTGAAACCGTTGTTGTGTTGTTTTTTTTTCGAATCGTCATTCCTCCTCTCATGCTTTTCTAATCTGTCCATTGGTTCCGTTTTAGTGAAGACTTGTAAATTAGTGCTCAAGTAATTGGTATTATCATCTGCATGCGATAACATTGCGGCAGTGGAGTCAGATTGAGCTTGTACCAGGCCATTAGTGGAATAACCCAGTTGTGCAGGGCCACTTCTTCCGCTTTGCATACTGCGCCTCCTGCTGGGTACATCGTTCAATCGTCTAAAACAATCAGCATAACTTTGCATCAGCGTTTGTTCCCGCTCATCGACCTTTATACTCACACCTTCATTAGCCCCCAACTGTTTGCATCTGAATGCCTTCTGGCTCGGTAGGATCCTTTCCTTCTGCTCCACCTTAAACTTGTCAACCAAGTTGGTGGTCCTATACAATTGTGTCGATATGTAATGTTTAAACAAACTTTTTTCATTTACATTTTTATATTTCCCCTGGGAATAATTGGAGTAGAACAAGTCTTCATTCTTTAGGGTATGCTTTATAAGTTTATTCAGCTCATCGCACACAAAATCGATGTTATTCCGTTTTATCAACTTATGGGCAGACTTAAACTGAAAGTCGTTTTTGTTAAAATTCTTTTTGTTTTTCATGTCGTCTATTTTTTTGCTTATTTTTTCCTTTTCTACATTAGGGTCTTTCTTATCCGTACACTTTGGCGCAGCCTGTTGTAGTTTCTCCCCAACAAGATTATTATTCGACAGAGTACTAGTACCATATTCATTTTTTAAATTCATGCTGTGCTGATTAATGTGATGAATATCATGATCCTCCTTGTAATTCACAGAATGCATATCCGGACACGTAGGAATCTTATAAGAATCATCATCCATTTCTTTGTTCGCGGAGTACATAAGCTCGTTCATTTTCCTTTCTTCCTCATCATCAATTTCGTTAATGTTTTTACTAGACTGGTTTTTCACCGCGCTATCATCATCTAAATGGTTGCTCTGAATTTTATCACAGCCATCATTGTTAATATCTTTTGGAATGCTTGCAACATTTAGGGCACTTTCATTGTCTATTTTGTGATCAGAATTTTTTTGTTTATTTCCTTCCTTACAGGATTTCTTCCGCAGGTAGTCATAATAGAATTTATACTCTAGCTGATTCAGTTTGTTTAAAATTTCATTATTATTATTTAATATGTCTACTAAGTATCCCATGGCATATACAGATTGATCTACGTTGTGGGAATTTAAAGATTTGGGTGGGAATTCCTCCTTAATATCTTTGGCTAGCTTGTCTTGTACTTCACCCAGAAAAGGCAACATAACATCATAATCAATATCGTCCACTTGGCTAATTTTTTTTAGAAATTTTAAAAACTCGTCATTGAAATTGAATACTGTGTTGAGACTATTTACGTTATTCATAAATTCTTCTTTAATTTGAAATGTTTCATTTGGGAAGAGTCTCTTATTGTCGCTATCGCAGTGCTTGCTTCCATTTTTGTTATAGTTAGTGTTGGTCCATTGACTTCCTAGTAACACATTAGCAGTGCCACTCTTCTGGTGACCTGTGTTGGTGGAGATTTTAACTGACGACTTGCATTTAGTTCCTCTTGATTTTTTCCTACTTCTACCATTTTTCCACCTTTCAGTGCATTTCCTTTTTCTTACATTTCGTCCAGATGCATAATCTACTTGACCAGCCTGGCCTTGGTGATGAATATCGTTTGAAGCACTGACCACATTACCAGTATTCGTACCAGCCAAGGTATCCACACCGAGTGCACTATTTCCGCTGTACAAGAATTCTTTATTCTTCTCTTTCTTCACTTTTCTCCTTGAAGAGGTGTTCTTTCTATAAACACCGCTGCTGTTTATGTCAACTTTGGGGATTATCAAATGGGGTAGATGTTTCTCTTCCAACACGGAGGATGCCCTTGGGGAAATATACAATTTGCTTGTATTTGCATCACCCGGGGCGTTGCTCATGTCGAACGAAACGTCACTTCTCCTTCGTGTGGTACTATTACGAATGCGATTCCTCGTTGAACTTTTATGTTCCTTCGCATTTTCATTCCAGGTTACATCGAGTAAACCCTCTTGAGCATTACTAATTTGTACTTTCTTCTTTCTGCCTCTTTTTTTCCTATCAACCCATGGGGCTACAACGCTCTGGTGGTAATCTTCAGTAACGGCAACGGCGGCCATTCCACCTTGATCGGTCATGTTAGGAAAGACCTGCGCTTCACTCATCATGAGGTCGCTACTGTTAATGCTATACGGTTGTTGTTCAATTTGGTCCATTCTCGTGCTCGCCAATTTATCTCTACCTCTGCCTCGTTTCGTCCCTGCTTTACCTCTTGCCCTAGATCTTTGTAATTTTCCCCTCTCAAGACCATGTACAGAGCTGTGTAGGTCAACTGCACCAACTGTCTGAACAATGCCCAATGCGCCTTGTTCTCCATTTGCTTTTACAATGCCGTTCCCATATGGATCAGTCCACATATTTTGATTCACCAAAGATAAATCGTAACTGCTAGGGTCAATACTATTTATCGCAGAAGTGGGAGCACTGAATCGGTTGGCATTATCATCCGTGGTGGAATAGCTAACGCGAGGAATGAACAAATGGTGTGCACCATTTGCTGCAGCATCAGCTAAAACATCATGGCCTAAAACGTTGCTGTAGTAGTAGTGCTCCGGTTTTTGAGGAACGTTTTCATTTCCCTTAAATCTAGAAAGAGATTTTACGTTGACAAGCTGATTGGTATTTCCCCCCAAGGCGTCTGCATGGCTGGCATTGCTCACATTTACGCTAGTTGCTACATTGTCTCCCTCCTTAGACAAAATGCTATTTTTCTTTACTTTGCAATTCGTTTGGGCTGTATTATCCACTAGGTTTTTTTGTACTTGCACTTTTTTCTTTTTCCTGTTAGATCCCTCGGCGTTGCTATATTTTTCCAAGCTTCTTATACTTTCTTCTTGAAAAAATATATCGTACTTGTTGTTCCTTATGGGGGTCCTCTTCGACCTCTTTAGTGGAACAGCTGCCACTTCTGGCTGTGCGACTGCATTGTGCTGTTCTTTTTGCCCATTCTGATTTTGCACGGAATTTATACTTTCTCCCTTGGAGATGCTACTATGTTCACCCTGGGCAGGAATAATACTATGTTGTTCTCCCGTTTCGTTCCCTGTTTGACATGTGCTCATTTCTGCGATGGACTCCACATCTGCATTGTCATACCCAACCTGTGTACCATTAACGAAGTCGTTAACATGTACGGTGGTACAATTATCCTGGGTGTTTCGTTTTGCAAATACTTGCTCCGATGCTTTGTCATTTGCATTGCTTCGCTTTACAGTGTCTTCCCTCAGGGAAGTAGTACTAGCCTGCACAGTGTTATCAATCACTCCTCCGTTATCTGTACCCTTTTCCGTATTCCCTACATTGTCAATGTGACTGCTGGTGATAGCGCTATTCCGTGTGTTTCTGCTTCTTCTGTTTCTGCTGCTGACTCTTGATTGTGCTGCTCTGTTTCTGTTTCCGGATGAATTACTATCAACAACAGTTGCGTTCTCGTTAGCACCACTGCTACTGTTTTGCAGAACCTCAGCATTGTTCACATTATTTTTTGCGTTTTTACTTTTAGCATCATTTTTCAAAGTCATTTTACTGTTATTCGATTTATGTGAACTTCTGTTATAATCCTCGGCGACTTTTAGTATAACACCACATCATCATTTTTATTCTTTATACTTTCTTCGTCTGATTGCAAATAATACAAGAAGCGAATTATACACGCCACGCGGTAAAGGGGTTATAGAGCAGGTCTAACACACAAGGGATACGATTTGTTCCTTTGTCTAAACGATATGTGATGCTCGCGCGGGGGCTCAGAAAAAAACAAAATTAATAATTGTTTGAATCTTCCTTAGCCCAATGGTTTACATATTGCGAATATGCAAAATGATCCACACGCTTAATTCTGATTTATGGATGCAGGATACATCAAACTGCAACACCCAGTTTGTTACGCTTAGTGTGAAGGCCAGCAAAGCGGTACAGGGGAGCGGATGCGCATAATGGCGATGCAGGTTCGGCGACTCCTAAAGTGTTTGTGGTTGCTTACAGCAGTTGTGGCTGCCACTGTGCTGATACCTGCCAGTGGACTGATGACTGCCGCAACGATTTCAACCGCGATGATGGTTGTCTGCTTGTCTTTTTACGCAAAAAAAACGGATGCATGACGCGCCCTGGAGCTAACCTGTCTAAACGCGTACAATTTGATTCACAAGAATAGGACTAATAAATAAAGCAGGAAGTGGTCATTCCTGCCACTCGTAAGGATAAAATTATGAAATAGACGAAGGTTCTATTAAGGGCAAACGGAAGAATAGACTCATCCTTGTTCACGCAAATTACGTAAAGCAATTACGTAACTTTTCAAGCAAAAAAAAAAAGAAAAAAATATATTTCAACAAATTGGCACGTATATATTTATAAAAAATTCCATATAAATATACATGCTTATATATTTTTTACTATTTACTCTATATAGACAATTTAATTTCTATACGTAAATGAATTATTTCTGTCATAAAAAACGAAATATACTATAAGTATACCTCTAAATATACTAAATGGTAGAAAAAAAAAAAAAAAAAAAAAAAAAAAGGTATCCGTAAAGGTATAAAAAGTAGGTACTACTTTACTGTACGTACATATATGTCTATTTTATTTTATAGTGCCGTAAAATGGAAGCAAAATATAATAATTTATTCTGCACGTCCTGTTTCCAGATTGTAACTTTTGCTTTAGGCGCCTGTGGCGGTATATATATGTATTATGTACAACATGTCGCGGCAACGACAATGTGGTGCCCTATCAGTTTTTTTTTAAATAATAAAAATGCGGGGGATTGTCCCTTAATTGATCTTGACAAGTGCAAAATATAATTATTATATTATTTCTGAAACATTTACTGGATGCTGTTCATTCTGCATGCCGCGTTCGTGCTTGCGCGGGTATCGTTTACGCCGACCGTGGTCGCGGTTATGGAGCATATTTTGTAGTGCAACATCCTATATTTTGCCGTTGCTTCTAATACGTTCAATCCAGTTTTTTGTGGCCCCTAAGTTCATTTTTTGCGCGCGCATTTCGCTCACATGACAAATATTCCGCACTTTCAAAAAGCATGCGCCTATTTATACTTTATATAAGAAAAGTTTTTTAGCACATATATATATAATGTATTATTGTATGCCCCGATGTAGCGACAATAAAATACCTTATAATAAAAAAAATGCCCCGCATGCTAAAGTCCGCATATATAAGCATTAGACTGTAGATTTTTGCAGTACCTAATAAAATAAACTCAGGAAAAAAGGTAGTCACCACATATAGTAAAAAAAATTAAGAATTTTTTTTTTATGCTATTTTTTAGTACTATTTTTTGCCCATTATTTATTCACTTTTTCCGACAATATTGCGCGACTTTTGCGTAAAACTTACAGCAGATATCTTAGTGGGCAAATGCGCTGCGCGTCTAATTCTGATGTATATTCATCATAATCGTATCCCATGCGCACGATTATAATAGTTTTATTTTTTCTGAAAAACAAGTGTATAATATTGGGGGTTATATCGTGAGGTTAAATATGTGAGGTTGGTCTAGGGGGTTACAAAAAACCATAGGGAAGACTTACGGTACGATGTTGCAACAATAAATTATTGTACATTTATGTTCATATACACACGTGTATACATTTGGCATATTCATATATATAGCTCCATAATTTATATAGCTACGGTAGGGATTATTCTGCGCCGCTGTTTTTGCGTTACGCTTAATCTGCCACGCGATATGTATGTATTTGTGGGGGCATGTCTATGTGATTTCCTGCCGATGGATATATGTGTTTGGGGAATCACAACGACTGTTACGATGTAAAGATGCAAATATGGGAGGGAAAAAAAAAAAAAAATGCAACATTACACGCAAAACGCGGAAAAATTCACCAACTGTTGCACTACCGTGGGAGGGCCAATAACTCCACGGAGGCACCTCAAATTCCAGTTCTCTGAACAAGTGTTATTTCAAAACGGTAATTTATACAACATTGATATATTTTGCAAGGTAAAGAAATGTTGCTCAACATTTGGGAAACGACGGGAAAGAAATCACACTTGAAAGTATTTACGCATGGTTCATTTTTGGCATTCACTAAACTTTGCAATCGATTGAAACCATATTTGTGGAGGTTTTACTTGTGCGACGTTATTTTCTTAACATGGTTATACTGGAAAGTGTCATATGGTATCCCCTTTTGGCTGTGTTTTTTCTTGTCTTTTTTTTTTTTTCGCTCAAGTTTTTTTAAAAAGAAAAAATAAAACTATTTTGTGCCAATGTCCGCTTAAATGATATGCCGCTTACACGCACAAGGCCACAAGAGGAGAAGTTATTTTATAAATTAAATAGGTACAACGATCCAACAGACCCAATGTTACTCTGTTTTATTCTGTTCTTATTCTAAAATGGAATCATGTGTCCGCTGGAAAGCAGCACACATGTCGGGGCAAAAAGGTCTTTACATGAGCTAATACGTGTCTGCACAAATGTAGAACAGTTCAGCATTTGCAAGGCGTTGCGCCAAAGTGCTACGCTAAGTAATGTGTATGCGTATTGTCCTACATATATCAAAATACACTTTCCGTTTATGTAGGCAAACCCGCTCGCGCAAAAGGGGAAAATAATAAAAAAAAAAAAATTTTGTCCCATCCTCAAAAAATAAATTGCGTCTTAATTTATTACTCCACTTTTTTTCCAACGTGGTATGAGAGCACGTTCGTAATAATTACAAACGTGTAAACCTGATGAAACGGAAATGTGTAACGTGCATATGTCGCACGTGCAAGTACAAATATATGTGAGTATACCAACGATGCAACTGCAACTGTTAGAGTTACTTTTTTTTTTTAACAAGCTTGTTCCAGCAAAAATGCATAAACCTGTGTGACGCGGTTGTACCATTCCCACGGAACTACATATAAAGGTGAGAATAGACTGGCAAATGGACAAGAAATGTGCTATTTTAATATTTCTTCCCGTGTACATGTTAAGGCCGCTTCGTGTGGGTTAACCTTATCATCAGCATACCGCAAAAAAGGGAAAAAATAACACACATATAGCGGCGAAAACGGGGTGCCGCATCGCAGTTGGAAAAGTTTTTTCTTGTATTTTTGTTTTTATTTTCTTTTTAAATTCGATTAAACCCACCGAGTCTTCATTTTGCGCAAAAAATGAATCGCACAATTGGATGACATTTTGCCGTGACCAACATTATTTTCACGGAAAAGGAAAAAAATTTTCCATATTTTCAAATACGCGAATTTTACACCCCTTACGGAATAGGCCTACCAGGCAGCACGACTTTCTTGCCACTGATTTTACAACGAGGAGGAGAAAAATATATAATCCCATGAACGCCTTTCCTGGGGTTGCGGAAATACGAAAAAGAGAATTAACGCAAAATTGGGGCATAGGGTGATAGGGTATTGCGACAGTAATGTTCGAGCAAGGGGATTCATCGAAGGAGGTAAAACTCGTAAAACAAAAAAAACAAAACAAAGTAATGAAACAAAGGGCAATAGGAATGTCCAATGTTTTGCACATATGCGCATAAGTACACTTATACACCGTGTATATGTACACACGCCTGAGGTGGCATAACCTAATCCTCGTTACCTATCCCCGCAGGCGCTAAGCGGAGGAGAAGACGAATTGTCTCAGGAGGATCTCGTAAATAAGAACCAAAAAAAAAATTTTGTGTTACTCTCCCAATTGTATATCTATGCACAGGTGTTAAGACAAACTGTTCTGAATTATTCCCTGCGTCTTCCCCTCCCCCTCTATGTAGATCCCCAGCTTCCAGGACATCTGGGACAGCCTGGACAAGTATGATGACGAGTACACCCCCTCAAGTGAAATTCAGAAGTATCACAATTCTTTGCAGAAGAGCCTGTACAACATTCTATTTTCGATTAAATATTTTCGTAAGTGTGCAACAGGCATTAATATGCAAATGCGAATGTTCTTTTCTCTGATGCGTTAGCAATTTACACCATTTTAACCCCATTTTATATTTAAAAATCATGCCCATGTGCATATGCTCCATCGTTCAGGGTCAGGTAAACGCGTTTTATAAATCGAGGGGAGACCAACCGTATGGGCTTCATCCAATTGGGAGGGCATCTTTTACCCAATCCTCTTTTTTTTTTCTTCTTCTGCTGTCCTGCCACTTATCGGTATGTACTGCGCTTTGTAAAGGAAGTTCTCATGACCACATTTCCTTTTTTCATTTCCGAACATCCAGACGAGCTAAATATTGATGCTCAATTTTTGAAGCTCGTGAACAGATACGTGAAATTTAAATTGCAAGGTAGGAAAAGATGAGACAAATTGTTGTAAAAGAAAAAAAAAAAAGAGACGAATAACAAATCCCATTTGTACTCACTTTGGTAACACAATGTGTGTAGCAGAATGAAATACTGCGTAGTTCTGAATCCCTACTTGGCGATTGCACCTTCTTGTCCATCCCTGCTGTTAATAATTTAAATTTGTATGCCTCTCTGTGTGGTGCGCACTCTGCAAATGTTCAGGACATCATCAAACGGACGAAAAGGACATATCCAGATTAGCAAGGGTACCAATGCAGACAAATGAAAAAAAAAAAAAAAGGACTACAAAAAGACCGCATTTTGTTCTCATTTATATCTCTTATAACGCAGTGTGCATCGGATTTTTACACAGATTTATCCAATTGTCGATGCTGCTAACCTCTGTTTTTTTTTTTTTTTTTTTTTCCAACCTTTTCCAGTTTCACTTAAAAAATCAGAAAGATGACGATGAGGACGAATTGGTCGTGGATGAAGAAGTTGGGGTCTTCCCCACCAAATGCCCCATTTCGCAAATGCCTTTTGAAAACCCAGTGACGCAAAGGTAAGTATATGCTTTTGCAGAAGTCCAATCCTTTTATGTGCTGAAGTGTACACCAGAGAGTCATTTTGTGGTGTGAGTCCCTACAAAAAACACATTTCCATTTCTAAAAGGCGAACTTAACAGTGCAGGTCAAACCACGTAGTAATGTTCCATAAAAATAATCACCGTTTTTTTAATGCCAAAATTGATTGCTTGGTTTTTGCTGTAACAACTCCTGTTTTAGGTTTAGCAAAAATAGGAAGGCATGTGTGCACACATTTGAGAAAGCGTTCATACTCCGATTGATGTAAGTCGAATTTGTTAAAGTGGGAAGAAGAAAAGGAGTATAATCCGATTCATTCCAACTGTTTTATTATTTTTATTCTTATTTCTTTAGGCAAAATAAAGACACGATCGAATGCCCCATAGCAGGTTTTGATTATATGCCTTTTGTTTTGTACATATTTTCGTGTGTCATGACATGCGCGCAGTTTCCCTTAGGTTAAATTGTTTTTACCTGCTTCTCTTTCTTTGTGTGTATATAACCCGTATGTACAAATTTCTTCCCTTTCAGCTTGCAAAAAAAAGGTCTACAAAAATAGCCTGCACCCCGATTACGAATTTTTGCACCATGCAAGGTTTGTAACAAGCAACTTGGCGCATTCGCAAATTTTTAGTTGCATCAGTGTTGTGCCAATTCTTGGGGCAAACCAGAAAATGGGTTAAGATGTGCAGGCAAAAATGTGTACATGATGCATGCATACATATACGTGTTTGTGTGTATTTCTTTTTCCCCTTTGTAGGTACAAAAAATTCCGAGACAACATTGCGGAGGCGAAGGAATACTTTGTCAATCTGAGGAACGATGGTTCGGCAAAAGAAAGAAAAAATCACAAAAAAAAAAAAAAGGGCGTTGTGCTTCTTGAGAGAGCAAGATGCGCACAAGTGTACCGCATTTTACGCACTACACCTACCGCGTTCTACTCGTTTCACTTTAATTTTCCCATTTTAAGATAGCAAAGGATTCGACTTTGTTGAGTGAAGCAAGTTCAAACACTGGAGCACCACAGGAGAACCTTCTTTTCACAGTCTACTTATTACAATTTACAATTTACAAGTCGTTATGGAATTCTTTTTATTTCAATTTGTTTTTTCGGAGTACACCACTCGTTCGTTACTTTGAGTAAGAACCCTTCCAGTACAACTCTTCCTTCTTCCCGACGCGGTTACCCTGCTTTAATTTGGATGAGCGTGCCGTTCCGCAAAACGTCGCAAAGGAGCCATTAAATTCACATTCCTCTTTTTACCACTTGAACAACAAACAAATGTGTATAAAGGTACGTAGGAATATATATGTATATTTTTATTGATAGCAAAATTGCCTACGTGTCTGGGGTGTAGAACATGAAGTGGATCAATGTGCATACAATGTAGCATCTTCTTAAAAAAAAAAAAAAGGATTTTATATAAAGCTATTTTTTTATTTTTTTTTGTGTGTGTGTATGTGTGTGTTCCTCCCAGCCCTGCTAAATCAGAGGCATACCATTCCGTATTATACATCTCATATATTTGTTGTTCGTACTTTTTTATTTATTACAACATGGGTCAGTCCACATTTGCATCTGTAACTACGTGTCCAACTAGGCAAAGAGTTTGGGGTTCCCAATTGTGTTATTCGTTGTGCCCAATTAATGATGGCAAATATGGGGTACACACACATGGTACGTTTCTTATTTTGCTGTTCCCTTGGCCAAACGTGGACGGGGATGCACATGTGGAAGACATGCGCCAAGTAACATTCAACTTGGTCAATGCGATGTAAACCTAGCGGGTAGGTTTGTCGTCCTGTTGTCTCCCTTTCGTATTAACCGCTTTGGCCGTTCTAACTGGGCCGATAAAAACGTGAGGAAATTCATTTTTTAAAAAAATTTTGCTACGTAAAATTGATGAATTAAGGAGGATAAAATAATGAGCTAGTGTTTTATATAACGCATGTAGGCACTACGCATGAATTTTTTTTCAGCCAAGAATCAATTATCCATTTTTTTTTGTGCATAGTTGCTTGGGTGTACCATTCTTCAATCGGGGCGCAAACGAATGGAGAAAATTGCCCACCAAGTGAACTCAACCAAACGTTTCCTCAATGTACATGACATTACCTCACACTTGCAGCACAAAAAATATTGGGAGCCACGTAACCCATCAGCATAATGCAGGCCTAACACGATGGCATAACTGTGCGTGAAATGTCCAAGCGGTAGCACATGTACAAACACGAAGCAGCCAATTGGTGAAAAGAACTACCTAAAGCACAGAAAAGCTTTTTATTATTTTTTTCTATTTTTTTTTTTTTTTTTTTATTCCCCTTTGCCTAACTTTTATACATAGTCTAAATTTGAGAAATCACAAGGATGAATATCTCATGAATAATTACCAAATTCTTAAGAAGAGCAATTGCGTGGAACCAATCTTAGCAGCACGGGGGCGTACACATAATATATTTTAAACCATTTGTCCGAACTGCTACTTTGGCGAGTATGGGACTGCTAGCCTTTCTCAGTTAGGACTGGCTCACAGCGTAGAATGATAAGCCTGAAAAGGAATAAACACAAAGGGGATAAGCGGAAGGAGGATAAGCACAAAGACGATAGGGTTAAAAAATGCGAACTGCTTAAACACCGAGCCGAACGCACGATTTGCCACTTATGTGTGCCGTTTCATTTGGTACGTTAGCCTTCTTAAAGCATAGTACCTTTTGCTCTTTCTTAACACCTCTGTACCCCGAGTCTGAGACTCCTCCACAATTTGTTCCGCTTTCCCTAAAATGAGTTGTATGAATTATGCGCAGCGTCTGTCGAAAAATGAAAACAAAGGGCCGTTGGGGGAAAAGGAATATTTTGAAGATTCTGAGGAAGAAAAAAGGAAAATTAAAAAACTGATAGAAAAAATAAAAACCAGTGAGCACATCGTCGTTCATGCTGGTGCCGGCATATCCACCAGCTCGGGGCTACAAGATTTTAGGGGCCCCACTGGAATATGGACAAACGAGTTCCTGAGAGACGCGAGTCACAGGAGGAAGAGGCAGTTCGAGAAGCGATGCAAGAGGGGGGAGGACGTGAGCGAGGTTAAGGAGGAAGCAAAGTCCAAGAAGGAGACCCAGGATGTAAGCACCCCTCATGCAAATGATAGCCCAAATACGAAGACGAAGAAGATACGAAAAAGCTTACAAGTAAAATGCGAACTGTCGGATGACCCCGGCCAACACAGCTCCGTTAACAGAACGCAGGAATGTGCATTCAATTTTGTCAAAATAGAAAGACCTGAAAGCGTGTATGAAGGTGACACGGTTGAATCCCACGCAGGGAGAGCGGACAATTGCCCAGAGTATAACGCCAGGGACACAAAATTAGCCCAAGAACAGAATCAAAGTTACGCAGGCTTTCAAGGAAAGGAATATTTAAATGGTTACAACCGGGAAGCATATGCCCAGGTAGACACAAGGTCGATCCATACTAAGGGGGATAATCATTCTGTGAATGAAAAGGAGACAAGTAAAAATTCCGACATGACACTCGTGAGAAGCACAATGATAAAGGAAGAACAAGGAGGGGAAGAAAGCGTCCATGTGTGTGTAAAAAAAGAAAATGCAGGTGCTACATATGAGCGAGACTCCACAAGCTTCTACCCAAGCGGTAGCAATAAAGATGGAGATAAACCTGGTGGGGAGGAGGCAGATGGAGATGCTAGGGAGGCAACACAAAATCCCCTTTCAAACGAACACTACGTCATATTTGGAAAGAGAAAAAAAAAAGTCATGGACCTGCACCTTGCCCTGCCAACCAAAACGCACATCATGATAAAGGAGCTAATGAACAGGAATATTATAAAATTTTTGATCACGCAAAATATAGATTCACTACACTATAGGTGTGGCACTAAATTTTCGAAAATGTCAGAAATACATGGAAATATATTCATTGAAAGGTGCGATTTTTGTGGTAGAAGATATTTGAGAGATTTTGTTATATCAACGATTAGCTTTCAACCCACCGGAGCCTTGTGCTTTTTGTGTTCCTTCCCCCCGATAGGTGTATGCACAGATGTTGTGTTAGACTGGAATAATGCATACGAAGATTTCTTCCACTTAAAGTCGATTAGACATTCTCAGATGGCTGATTTTCACTTCTGTCTGGGGTCCAGTTTTTACATTGTCCCTGCTAGCTATTATCCATCCAAAAAAAAATTTGCAAATGAAAAATCCTTCAGCTGCTTAATTAATTATCAGAAGTCTTCCCTCTCTAAGGAAGTGGATTTAAGTTTGCATTCTAATGTGAATAACATTTCCGGTATAATCATTAAAGAATTTTCTCTCGAACCTCTATGCATTAGAAGCGCATTGATTATCGTCGTCAGGTGTCAAGTAATCCACTTTGATTTAATGTTTGACAAATTGATCACATTGAATAATGTCGTACAAAATGACGACTGTGTAGGTGTACCCAAGGGAGAAACCTCTAGCGACCTGTCATTACGGATTGTCAAAACGGATGAGCAGGATTCCGCGGAGGGTGAGGCGTGTAATAGGCAAAAAACGCACCTCGATAAGGAGAAAAATTACTCATCATATGATGGAGTTAAGCAATTAAAGGAGGATAGAAACCCGTCCACACATTTCTACACACATGGAAATTATTCTGATGGTGGTGGACAAAACACCCATAGTGACAAAAACCCATTTAAGCAACAACTCTTTCTAATCAAATGCTCGATGATTAAAAATGTAAGCAACAACGAACCAGTTGATGAGGCGCACAAATTAGGAGTAGCATGCATAGATAAAACCAAAGGCATTTGGCTAGTGAGGACAAATTTTTCCTGCATATTAGAAATCGAATTATGGTACAACTCCTTCGTTTTGCTAAAATTAAATTATGATGAAAACTGCCCGTGCGTGGAGCTAAATGCATGGAGTGTGAACGTGGCCTATACCTATGGTGACGACATTGATGACGTGGACTATGTGAACAGAGGTGCTTCTAAGGGTAAAAATTTCGATTTGCAAAAAAATAAGTATGTGGATAGAACAACTCACCGCATGAGAAGTACCGAAAATGGTGCAAACATAAAAGAAAAATTGAGCAGCGATGCTGACCAGGGGGAGGGCAGCTTCTCAAACAAGCATCCCAACCATAATGAATGTCATGATGCACGGCAGCCGTTGCCCATTTCAGAAATATTGCCAGAACATGTATATGTGGGTTACAACCCAAACAATATCAAACCGCACTCTGGGGTTGAACAGCTAGCCATTTTGGCCAATGCAAGTAAGCTCTCCAAGCATAGCAGCTACGCGCGCTTCGAGCTTCCCAACGCGCTTAAATTGCTATACAATTTGTTCTGCCTCGTAAACAAGTCGGACAGGGCAAGCGACATAGAAAAAGTGAAGCAGGATGAACACGTGAAAAAGGAAGAAACACCCAGTAGAGACACAATGGCGACGTTCGTAAAAAACCTCCATTCACCAGAAAATGTCAATTTATACACAACCGATTTTGTAAAAACCTTTACAAAGAAGGAGAACATGACGTACAAGAGCCATTACACCTTCAGGGAGAGGAAAAAGAAAGACTTAAGTGACTTTAATTTGTGCTCCTCTTCTGATGAAAACAAGGAAAAAAAAATGTTCGTTTTTTATAACCTATATATGAACGAAAGCAATGATGTATATAATGTTGCAGTTGGCAGGGATATAATGAGTAAACACTTTTTAGATTCTTCTCTACATAATAGTGGCTCTCCAGAAAGTAGCTCACAAGGGCACGTTGGCGATTCCCCAAGAAGGAAAGAAACGCATGAAGCGAACCAATGCAATGACAACAATTCTGCAAGAAGCACCAGCAAAATTGAAAGTGATCCTTTATACGAGATTCACCATGTAAAAATGGCACCCTCACAAAATGGGAAAAATTGTGATGAATACGAAAACGTGGATGAGGACAGCTATCGCCAAGACAGATTCTCACTCAGTCAAGGGAGTGAACCCATCTTGACTATTAACCAGAAAGAAAAGTTGGAAATGCCTCCGGCGGAGAAGGTTACGAATAATTATAACACTGCTGTGAAGGAACAGTCAAGCAACGATTCGAATACAAATGGCTTTAAAGAGGGAGACACGAAATCAGATAGAGACAGCGCTGGTCACTTACAAGAAGAGGAAATTCACGCAAGCACCACAAAAAAAAAGCCAAATCATTTTAACCACCGTTCTTCGGAATTATTGTTCTACCCAGTTCTGCTTATAAATAACAAACACCAACTTGGGGAATTGGTGTCCAAAATACCCAAGTATATAAAACCCGAGAAGAAGTACACTCCTTACAAGAAGCTCAGCAGGGATAAAGAAAACTCCAATACTCTTCAGAGATGTAGAAGTGAAATTTGGAAAGGAAAATACAACGAGATGGTTTGCGATATGGAGAAAGAGCACGCTATCGATTTTGTTCTCTTTCGGGAGGTCTGCTACTTCCCTCTGTGGCTTTTGAATTATGTAAACGACTTGTTCGAATGCTTGTGAGGGCGGTGCGCAACGCAGGCGAATAGTGTACGTACCATTTTTTTTGGCCCATTTTTGTTCTTACATTGCTAGGCGTTTCCGTAAACACCGAGCGAACTCTCCGTTTGACCGTTTTCTCATTTTTTGTTTTGCAAAGATAACTCCAATTTGTCAGTAATTTATGTTTGTTGAACGCCTGTCCATGTTTTCTACTCCCTTCTCGTACTACATCGCGCTTCCCTTTGAAGCCATCGAAGCGACAAAAAAAAAAAATTCCAGGCGCAATACTGTACATGTGTTTAGGTACAGCCCCGGGACTGCGTGGTCAAGTTAGCGGGATTTGTTTATATGTTCAGGACGTCTATCCATTGGGGAAAACCCCGATAGGCGCTCAGAACAATACTCGGCACGTTTTCAATCGTCACAAAAAAAAAAAAAAAATAAGAAAGAAAAGAAATACAAAGTATGCATTTCGTGGTACCAAATAAAACAATGCCAAATGTAAACGGCATATATATGGGTGAAAGGTCAAGGTGCGCCTGGCGCACCATCTGGAATATGTGCGTGCAATAGGAGCGGTAACATAAACCGTCGTAAATAGGAAGACGATTTAAAATTCAAAAAAATGAAATCCTTCAGTCGGAGTCATCCATCACGTCCAATTTGTCCATGGCCTGCTGTAAGAGGTGACCATAATTTGCGTCATCTCCATTTTTATTAAAATTTAACGTCGTGTTGGAATTTTCCACGTTTTCGTCCTGCTCGTCATTTTTATTGTGATCGGTAAAGGCGTCTTCCTGTGTGCGATTTTTGCCTTCATTTATTTTCCTCTTAATTAGCTCGATTATAGCTTTATCCGTTTTTTTCGATAACACATTTAATTTCTTTTGCAAATCTCTCTTCAAATCTGCATTGATATTTTTGGCATCAATTCGGTCCAGAACATTCCCTTGAAATGCATTTTTCACTTGTTCCTCAAATTCCTCATTTAATTTCGCTTCGAATTCTTCCGTATCTGGACAAGGCACGCAGGATTTCTTCAGCTCCTTGTTGACGGGAATGTAGTTGTAAAATTTTATATCTCTGTAGTCCTTCGCCCCCATTTTGCGTTCGCTCATCCTCGTGTACGCGTAAGCGTGTTGGCATCAGCGTGTTTACGACAACGCGTTTACGTCACCACAAACAGGTATGCCCCTCTTTGTTTCCTCTTTGTGATCTCCTGCGTTACCTCATTGTCTCTTCGTTTCCTTTCTCATTTTACCAAAAAGAAGGAATCGCTTAGCGCAAAGAGGCCATATAAAATTGTTTTGAAAAAATGTACGTTAATTCCCTATTGCTACGAATGTACGTTCTCGCAATGAAATGTTTTATGGCACATGTTTCTATTTTGGCATGGCACTGCGCCGCAGATTCCGAAATTTTCTCGCTCCATTTTCGTAGGCTCGCCCCACATTTCCCTGGTGCCCCGTTTGAAATCGCTCACAAGGGAAAACGAAAAATTACCGGCAATATATTCTTTCCAGGGCATTATTAATATTCCACGTTTTTACATAAAAATTAAGCAGTTTTTATGCCCCCTTTTTTTGCGAACCCTAATTGTTGTTACAACGTTGGGTTCCAAATTTGTTTCACTAAAATGCGCTCTCCTCATAATATTGCGCTTAAAAGGGACAAGTAGAGAACCGCAGTTGGTGCCCTTTGTTCCGTGAGCCAATTTGTACATGCGTTTAGGTATCTACTCACTGATTGGCTCGTAAATGTAGCAAATCGTGTTCACAAGAGGTGGTACAATATGAAGGGGATGAACACGGCTGAGTTGGGGAAACCATCAAATGGATGACAAAAGACGCAGCGCACACATGTAGGAAGCCGTAAGTGTCGAGTAAGTCATAAAGTTACATACCATGTGACGGTACTCCCCATAAACGGATTTCTTTTTAAAGCCTAGTGTGCTTCCTTCATGCTAAACATTTCTCCTGTTGTGCATTAATTAGAGAAAAAAAGAGACATTATGTAAATGCACGCCAACACAATTTTCAAGGCAAAATGGGGTAGTAACAACCGTGGAACAAACACCATTGCTTAAACTGATCATACGAATGAGGACGTTTTCGGACGAATTAATGGTTCTCGCTAGGCACCTGGGCAAACGTCCCCCTCCAGTGCGTAACAGCAAAAATGCTGTGGAAAAAAAAAAAAAAAAAAAAAAAAAAAAAGTTAACAGTTGTGCCACGGTGAGGAAAAAGTTATTCATATGGGTGGAACATAAGACAAATCGCTATTTTAGCAATTTTCAAAAAGGTGCAAACAAAAGGGCCAAAAAAAAAAAAAAAAAAAAAAAATTTTAGCGTTCGACACGTATACCATATTTTTTTTTTTTTTTTTTTTTTCCCAAAAAAAAAAAAAAAAAAAAAGAGTCCTTTTTCACGATGCCCAAGGTGAACTGCCAAATCACTTGTGAAGGAACAACAGCTGCACGGACTGTATTACAGTGTTCGTGTCAGTGGAGATCTGGAGTGTTTTACTGTCTGAGATGCTAATATCAGAGGTAACTTTGGTATACTGCCCAGGCTTTAAAAACATGTTACTTATGTAAACATCACCATTAACTGTGATGGAATTTAGTTCTTGTCTGCCGCTTGGGGATCCTATTTCGATGGCCATGTAGTATGTTCCTTGGTGCAGTAAATCAATTGACCACGTATTAGAGGTATCACAAGCTTCGTTGCTATTTTTGCATTCCAAAGGAAGGAAAGAAATTCCCGCATGTGATGGGTCGTTGTCCAAATTTTCTGATTCCACGGGGGTGGGTAATTTCTCCCAGCCATATTTGAAAAATCCATACTGATCCTTTTTCAGTCCATTATCAATTATCCAATTTAACGGTTTGGATGACGTGCTATTATTTTTGCTGGTAAAAAATACGTTAATTTCTCGCTCATTTTTCTGTTGATTTGGTTGCTCATTTTTGGGGTCTACACATGGGATACCATAGAAGGCAACGTTACCACCACTCTGTCCTTTGGGATTGCTCACTTTGGATATGACTACCTTGGCGCTTTTCGCCTTTATTGGGGTGCTGAGCTTGTAGTGATGGTGTCCGGGAGAGATGGCAAAAACTTCAGGTGTTTTAACATTTGGAAAGTACAGAGTCAGTTCTGTGATCGGGTTCTCCAGAGAAGACAGATTTCTGAAAGTGAAGGAATGAATGTCTATCTCGTATTTGAAGTTTACACTTAGGTACTGGCCTAGTGATTTATCAGCTGCCGTTTTCCACGTTTCGTATTCTTTATCCTGATTATTGCCACTGAAACCAGCATTGCAATCAAATTGGGGGGACTCATATGATGAGGCATAACAAGAATTAAAGTGTCCCGAATTTGTGAGTGAAACTGTCTGGACATATCCCCTACAACTATTAGAGGAGTGCAATTCACGTGGCTCCAAAAATATTAAAAAGGGAGTCGGTTTGAGTAAATTTATGAGCACATCTCCGCTGGAATATTCAGAAGAGTATATATTATATGTGTTCTGCTCGGAAGCATTCGTCGCGTTTTCTTCCTCCACTTGATAAATTGACAAAGTCTCCTTTGTTGTTTCAAATTTTTTCTTCGTCACATCGTTCAGTGGAATTTCCTTCACTTCCTTTGGTATGGCTACAAAGACGACGCTATGCGAGTTGACCCTAAAATGTACGCTGCTTATATTATGATTGTACATAGTAGAACGTATGCACTTGGATTTTTCAAAAATGGATGGAATATCAGCTACTACAAATTTTGTTGTGTCCATAAAGGCGTGCATTCCATTCTGAAGAAATATGATTTCATATTCTTCCCCCCTCAGCTGACTAATTCGTAATGGGCTTGTCACATTTCCCTGGAAAAAATAATTAGTTGGGATAATTTCCTCCACTATAAGATCGGATCTCCACGAGAGCATTATGTGGACCATGTCGGGGTTTTCATATTTGATACTACTGAGGTGGAAATATTCTACACGGAATTTATATTTCTTTCCTCCAAGTAAGCCCAACTTTTCAGAGCTGACCTTATGCACCTTAGCATTTATTTTTTCCATAGGAAGTATTGATATGGGTCTCATTTCTTCTGAATCTTCTTCCTTAGGATAAGGCATGTTATCTACAAGAATGGGGGAGTCGTCTAAAAATATCCTCACGCCACAGTCATGTTCGACGCTAATGATATAATTCCCCGTTTGGGGAATTTTTAAATAACCATCCCACCTTACAGAAAAATGCTGGTACGGAATATTCTCTACTGGGATACCAGTATCCCATACAAAATTTATATACTTGTCACTTTGAATGGAGACAGGGTACCCTGAGAAATATGCATTATCGTAATAGCTTCCAATTAATCCATCTGCTTTCTCTTCAATACTGTAGGCTTTTAATATTGAACAATTCCTTTTGTCCTCCAGGAACGGTTTCCTATTCTTCTCTACCTCATCTGCTAGTTCATGCATTTTTGTTTCAGAGTCACCAATAGACGATGCCTGAAGCAATAATTTGTTTATATTTCTACTGGAGTTTTTAGCTATGTCATTAATTTCCTCAAATTTTTTCTTCACCATTTCCGATGTACTTCCACATATTCCTTCGTACTTTTCATATATGCCTTCCAACTTGTTTTTTTCCATTTCCAGTTTTGTGACAGCACTGTTCAGTTCATTTGACTTTGCTAAATAGAACGTCCTAGCTTTTGACCTGACAACATCGTAGTTAATTACTCCTTTGCAGTAATCCCAATCTCTGTTCCCCTTCCCTACTAGCTGCACTTCCACGTAACACCATTCTCTGCCCGTTATTCCATTTGGATCCGTTGCCTTGGTGCAATCCGTGAAAGTCTGATCGTCTTGCACAAATGCAGCGGCGCACAGGCGCCCATCCACAGTTTTTCTGTGCTGCTGGCGGTACTCCGTCAGTTTCTGCAAAGTGTGTGTAATAGGAAGTGTAGAAGTACGCATAAATGTATATTATGTATGTGTTTGTTGGGTTG